TACCGGTTCTCCGAACTACTCAAAATTTCCGCTACCGGTTCTCCAGAACCTGTCAGAACCTGCTGGATTTCACTCCTGCCCTATATCTTATTTCTACCTCTATTCTGGAGGTACACTGGTATAATTTTAAATCGTTTTTAATTGGGTTACTGATTTTAATTTGGTATTGTATTGTGATTTGTATTGAAGTTGTCATTTTGTAAGCCGCCTTGAGTCCCTAGGGAGAAAGGCGGCATATAAATCGCAATAAATAAATAAATAAATAAATAAATAAATAAATAAATAAATAAATATTCTAACTTCTAATCAGGCCACCATTACTAATCCTAGTGTTAATACACTTGTTTATATTAAGACATAGGACTATCTTGAGGGTGCTCCAACACTGGAGGTTTTTAAGAAGAGATTGGACAACCATTTGTCTGAAGTGGTGTAGGGTTTCCTGCCTAAGCAGGGGGTTGGACTAGAAGACCTCTAAGGTCCCTTCCACCTCTGTTATTCTTTGGATCACGTTTTACCAAACCTGCATAACAATAAAAACTCCGTAGAGGAAACAGAACTAGGACATTGTAAAAAGTGAAAGTGTAGGATGGAAACTTGAGTCAGACATAAGCAATAAAGAGCAACAAAGAGCAGGTTGGACTGGTTTGGCTTCTGCCAGCGCGGCACAGTACAAATTTAACAAATTTCAAGCACCCGAAGGCCAGACAAGGAACAATGGATGGAAACTGATCAAGAAGAGATTCAACCTAGAAATAAGGAGAAATTTTCTTTGCAGTGAGAACAATCAACCAATGGAACAGAAGTTGCCTTTGGAAGTTGTGGGAGCTTCATCACTGGAAGCTTTCAAGAAGAGACTGGACTGCTCTATAAGGAATAGTGTAAGGACTCCTGCTTTGGCAGGGGGTCAGACTAGATGACCTACAAGGTCCTTTCCAACATTGTTATTCTATTTCAATTGCAGCAACTTTGCAAGCTGAGAAAAGGAAGCTTCTGTGACTCTTAAGAGGCCTGGTGTCACAGCTTTTGATCATTGCTCAGTGATCATTACTATGGATCATGGGATCAAGCCAAGCATTCCTGCTGTCGTTTCCATCCCATTTCAAAATCACTCAATTGAAACAGGTGTCGATGAGGATGCTTGGAGACAGCCAATCTTTCCTTCGGTGTAGGACACGGGATGAAAAGGATTACGTGGGTATCAAGTCTTCGGATGCTGATCCTTTGCAAGAGCCTTCTGAGCAGTGGCGGAATTCAATATTTTTTTACTACCGGTTCTGTGGGTGTGGCTTGGTGGGTGTGGCTTGGTGGGCGTGGCAGGGGAAGGATACTGCAAAATCTCCATTTCCTCCCCACTCCTGGGGAAAGGATACTGCAAAATCCCCATTCCCTCCCCACTCCAGGGGAAGGATACATCAAAATTTCCATTCCCACCCCACTCCAGGAGAAGGATACTTCAAAATTTCCATTCCCACCCGATTCTAAGGGGAAGGATACTGCAAAATCCCCATTCCCTCCCCACTACCAAGGGGAAGGATATTGCAAAATCTCCATTCCCTCCCCACTCCAGGAGAAGGATATTGCAAAATCTCCATTCCCACCCCACTATCAAGGGGAAGGATATTGCAAAATCTCCATTCCCACCCCACTCCTGGGGGAAGGATATTGCAAAATCTCCATTCCCACCCCACTCCTGGGGAAGGATACTGGAAAATCCCCATTCCCTTCCCACTCCTGGAGGAAGGATACTGCAAAATCTCCATTCCCAACCCACTCCAAGGGGTTGCAAAATCTCCATTCTGGGGCCAGCCAGAGGTGGTATTTGCCGGTTCTCCAAACTGCCAAAGAGCTCATTTTTTTAAAAGCAGCAATGCAACATTAAAGAAAAACAATTAAGCAATCAGGAAAAGAAAACAAGCAATTAAGTCTCTCTCATTTCCCTTGCATCATAAACCACAGAGATTGCTTTGTCCCAACCAGGCTACCTATGCAGGAATGTTCTTGAACAGGTAGTCCTCAAGGTACGACCAACGCAGTCCTCAACGAATGACAGTTGAGCCCAGAATTTATGCTGCTAAGTGAAACAAATTCATTAAGTGAGTTTTGCCACATTTTACAACCTTTCTTGTCCCAGTTATTAAGTGAATCATTAAATTAGTAATATGGTTGTTAAGTGAAGCGGACTTCCCCATTGACTTTGCTTGTCCGAAGGTCGCAAAAAGGGGATCGCATGACCCCGGGACACTGCCACCGTCATAAATATGAATCAGCTGCCAAGCGTTTGAATTTTGATCACGTGGGAATGCTACAACGGTCGTAAGTGTGAAAAATGGTCATAAGTGACTTTTTTTTTCAGGCTGTTGTAACTTTGAATGGTCACTATATGGACTGTTGTTAAATCCTGGACATTTGTCCATTTGTTGGACAGGTGAAAATCAAATGAGTTAATTGTACGGATTAATTGAAGTTGTTTTTTTATGGCTGCGTTTCTGCATTGTTGCTATATTTTTTTTAAAAAAATTTGATTTATATGCTGCCCTTCTCCGGAGACTCAGGGCGGCTTACAATGCGTTAAGCAATAGCCTTCATACTTTTGTATATTTATACAAAGTCAGCTTATTGCCCCCACAATCTGGGTCCTCATTTTACCTACCTTAGAAAGGATGGAAGGCTGAGTCAACCTTGAGCCTGGTGAGATTCGAACTTACTTTAATTGCAGACAGCTGGTCTTAATAACAGTGCTTTAGTTTGCAGAGCTATCCAGGCTCCTATTCAGGTACTCCTTGACTTACAACCATCCATTTAGTGACCGCTCACAGTTAAAACAGGAATTATTAACATGAAGATTAATCAATATTAGGATGATAGTGTAATTATGATGATGATTAAAAATATATGTGTAAGTGATTAAGTCGGGGTTTTTTTGTCCATAGGCAGTTGAGTAGTGTTTCAGTCTTGGCAGAGATGGTAGTTTTCTGCATCTGAGGAAGAAATCTGACTTTTCTGTTGGTGAGTCATTTGAGCACAGATTTTAACGCTTCTTTTTATGACGGTGCTAAATGTAGGAAAACACCCACTTCCCAGGTGCCTTTGGTAATATAATAATAATAACTTTATTGTCATTGTATGTGTATACACAGTATACCCATACAATGAAATTCACTTAACACCCAAAGACCAGGTCCAACACACATAACAATCCCCAAACACACTCCCACCCACCACAATTCCCCACCCCTAAACCACCCAAACATCCACACAGCAGACCAAGTAATGCTATCCAACAGCTCACTGATGGTGGCCCTTTAGTTCATTGTTGAGTGCAATTATAGCTCTGGGATAAAAACTATTCAGAAGACGTGTGGTCCAAGTTTTAATATCCAATACAAATTAAAAAAAAAATTGGCTTTCAAGAAGCGGAGGCCGGAACCCTCTATCTTGGAGAAGTTAATCTGCACGTGGTGTTTCATTTTTTTTTCTTTCATATACAAAATTCAGGTAGAAAAGGAATTGGTCAATATGTTCAAATAGAATTGCCAATTCATTTGCTTTCTATTGCAGAGCTGCCATTTTTGCAGCTTGCCATTTTGCCAGATTGCAGAGCTATCCTCGCTCCCTGGACGTAAACTGCTTCAACTCCTACCCTCAAAACGACGCTATACAGCACTGCACACCAGAACAACTAGACACAAGGACAGTTTTTATCCCCCGAACTCCATCACTCTGCTAAACAATTAATTCCCTCAACTCTATCAAAATATTCACTAAATCTGCATTACTATTACTATTAATCTTCTCATGGTTCCTATTACTCATCTCCTCCCACTTATGACTGTAACTTGCTTCTGTATCCTCACGATTTATATTAATTGTTTCCTTGTATTGATTTGTACCCTATGACTATCATTAAGTGTTGTACCTTATGATTCTTGACGAACGTATCTTTTCTTTTTATGTACACTGAGACCGTATGCACCAAAGACAAATTCCTTGTGTGTCCAATCACACTTGGCCAATAAAGAAATGTATAAAGATCCGTGAACATTATTTTTCTGCATCTTTGTAATTGCACAGGTATATTCAGTAGATGAAAGTTAAGCTTACGCATTCTGCTAAATCACACCTAAATTGTAGTGTGGTTTCATATCATGTGTGAATCCTATCATGGGTTTGTAAAACACCCATGGTGAATTAGATGGCTACAGCTTGTTCCACTAAACATGTTTGAAATAAATCCTATACTGTATTAGCATGTTCTACCAACCCATTCAATGCCATCTGGTGCACACATACATGCTCATTTGCTCACTTACACACAGAGTATATGTTATGCACTGACACACACAAAAAGCCTTATAGGTTTTTAGTTCGAGCTATCTTTCAGGTTGAAATAGTGATAATACAACCTGATGTTTGGTTAAAGGTGACGGTAGAGGGAAAATAAAAATAAGAATGACTGCGTAGCAGATCAACTGAACTGTTCAACTGAACAAGGAGAGATTCAACCTGGAAATAAGGAGAAATTTTCTGACTGGGAGAGCAATGAATCAATGTGAAAGCCAGAGAAGGAACAATGGGTGGAAACTGATCAAGGAGAGATTCGACCTAGAAATAAGGAGAAATTTCCTGACAGTGAGAACAATCAACCCACGGAACAGAAGTTGCCTTCGGAAGTTGTGGGAGCTTCATCACTGGAGGCTTTCAAGAAGAGACTGGACTGCTCTATCAGGAATGGTGGAAGGACTCCTTTTTTCGGCAGGGAGTCGGACTAGATGACCTACAAGGTCCCTTCCCACTCTCTTAATCTGTATCTGTATCAGTTTGCCCAACCTGGTGCCCTTCAAATAAATTGGAATTACATTACCCACAATAATGTACACATCACATCTATTGGTACAAAGTGGTCAATAAACTCTTCCCGGGGACCAATTCACTCTGTCGAATTTCAGCTTTGTATGAGCTTCTGCCAACTCTTAAGGAACCAGGTACGACAAAACCCAGACTTTCTATAAAAAGACTTTTATTATCAAACTATATTTGTACACTGCAATCCATGGCCAGGCAATGCAAATCGACACCCGTTTAGCTTCCACTGGGATAGCTGCAGAAGATGCCATTGTCACGCTGAACAACAAAACTACAACTTTGAAGAAACCTAGTTCAAGTCAAGGGTTGTCCTTCTTTTTTTTTTTTTGCCCTGAATGGGAAGAACAATTCTTCGGTTTCTTTCGTTCTATATACAAGAGACTTCAGACTTTGTACATATTCAACACTTAAAGGATCGGGCAATAAAAACAGGAAATATTCAAGTTGGTAATCCCAGGTTAATTCTTCTGCAGTCCCGTGGTCCTTCTTCTTTTTTCTTTCTGTCCCTCCAGGGAGAAGATCCTGCTACCCGTTGATATTGCACAAACACAACTTTGAAGGAGGTGCCCCCAAAAAAGGCCACTGATATATGCTGTCCGTCACTTTCAGTAGTACATGTTTTTATCCCACCAGCCTGTAGTGAAAGGAGAAAAAAATAAATAAACATTTCTTTTTTAATAAGTAGGTTGGTTGGCATAATGAATGCTATTAATAGGAGAACATATTTGTATCTCAGATTGTGGGGACTTTGGGGCTCTCTGAGCTTGATTGTTTTCTTGCAAATGTTTCATGACCCAACTAGGTAACTGCATCAGTGCTAGGCGAGAATGGGGCTTGCTCTCTGCATATATACAGAGATGATGTTATCTAATTGGGTCATCAGATGTCTGCAAGAAAGCAATCAAGCACCAAGGATCCTACTGATTGCTATTGAACAGATCGTTCTGACCTAGCCTTCCCAAGAGCATGAAGCAGACTCCTTGTCCTGACCAAACCCCTTTTTATTAAGTTACTGTGAATTCCTCTCATTCACATCCAGCCAAGTCTTTCAAGGGTGAATTTTACAGTCACAGATCTTATCTGGCTTGGAGAGCTGCCAGGCCAATATCTTCAAAACTTGGCAAAGAGTCTCGGAGAGTCACGAACCAATTAAGCGAACTAATTGTGTCCTGCAAACTCCACTCCCCTTTTGCTCCTCTTTTATTCCCTATGGGAGGGGCCCTTCATCGTCCACCTGTGGCCTTACTCCTGAGTCGACCCTTGTTCTTTAGCTGTTCCCTTCGTCTGGCAACTCTCACACTGGGAACAGGCTCCAGTTGTTCGTCTGCCTCACTGATGTCTGACTCTGAAGGCAGCTGATAATTGTTGGATGGCCCTGGCCCCCTCTCTGCCTCCGACGCAGAGCCCTCATCAGAGCCTTCCCCAGACTCCAGGACTGGCCCATCTTCCTCCCCAACCTCCTCACTGTCCGAATCTGCTACCAGCTACACTGGTGGGCCACAACACAGATCTCCCTGGTCCATTAAGATAATTATGGGGTATCTCCTCTCTCTCTTCTTCCCAGATCTACACAGACCTTGAAACCAAGTTTCCTGGATGCATCTAATTTCAAGGATTCAAAAGGGCACCTCTGCTATTGTTCCATAAGACAAGACTCTGTAAAAGGGTCCAAGGTTTTGAGAAAGGAACAAACCTCAGCTCCTAAGGCCTTATGTAACCCTGTGTAACCTCAATGGCTGCCAATGAGAGTCCTACCACCATCACCAAGTTGCAATAAAATTGTCATCGTGCGTGCTTGAAGTTTATTTTGACCACTTCGTGCTGACCCAGATTGTTGGGGGCATGATGCTGACCAGTTGTGGGACTCAAGTAATTTAACAACCGGTTCTCTGCCCTAATGATTTCTTCCAACAACCAGTTTGTCAAACTGCTCAGAAAGTTAACAACTGGTTCTCCCGAAGTGGTGTGAACCGGCTGAATCCCATCACTGATGCTGACTCTGTAAACCACTTAGAGAAGGCTGCAAAGCACTAGGAAGCTGTATATTAGTCTAAGTACTATTGATATTGGTACTGCTATACTGACCACCTGACTATCAATTAAAGACCTACTGAGGCCTTTAGCAGGTATCAGACTAAGTGTAATTTGACAGTAACTCTAGGAGATGTTCAGGACTTCTTGGTTGATCATTTTAGTCAAACGCTTGTCGACTATCTATTTGGGATGTTTTTATTTAGACCCCTGCATTGAGCAAGGGGTGACACTTGATGGCCTCAATGAGCTTTGCCCAACTTGGTGCTCTAATGCAAAAAAATAAAATAAAAATAAAAATGTTTTCCTATCCAAATCCAAAAGGATGACTAGGGGGACTAGAGACTAAAACATATGATGAACAATTGCAGGAACTGGGCATGGCTAGTCTAGTGAAGAGAAGGAGCAGGGGACGCATGCTAGCAGGCTTACAATATTTGAGGGGCTGCCACAAAGTGGAGGGGGGGAAGTTAAGCTATATTCCAAGGCACCTGAAGGCCAGACAAGGAATAATGGATGGAAACTGAACAAGGAGAGCGTCAACCTGGAAATAAGGAGAAATTTCCTGACAGTGAGAACAATCAACTCATGGAACAGAAGTTGCCTTTGGAAGTTGTGGGAGCTTCATCACTGGAAGCTTTCAAGAGGAGACTGGACTGCCATCTGTCAGAAATGGTGTAGGGTCTCTTGCTTGAGTGTGGGTTGGACTAGATGACCTATAAGGTGCCTTCCAACTCTGTTAATCTAATCTAAAACCTCCAAGGTCCTTTCCAGCTGATTCACTCTATTCCATTTCCAACTCTGTTAATCTGTATAATCTGTATCTGTATGAATCTCTTTATTCAGGTGGGATTAAAAAACAACTATAACATCAATCTTGGAGCCTGGACAGGACTGTCTAATCAGGGCAACCAGAAATGCAGAGTTTTAAATTCTGTTGAAATGACAACAGCTCTAAAACTATAACTGGCTAACGTAATGTTTTATGCTGCGTTTGGCTTCTCTCCAAACCAATGAACCCTTTATTAGAAAGTGAAGTGGAGCCAAGTCTACTGGCTTGCAATTCCTGGTGCCAAGACAAAAAAATAATAAAAATAATAATCCCTGACCTGAAGGAACCTCTTACATCTTTTTTTTTTTGGCAAGGGCGATATTGCCTGCGATAATGAGCATTTAATTGAAATTGCAGATTCAGTAATGTTCGCTTGGGTTGCAATAGGTGTGGAAATTTAAAGTGTGCGTAAAACGCTATGGCAAATCTAGACAGCTTACTAAAAAGCAGAGACATCACCCTGCCAACAAAAGTGCATATAGTCAAGGCTATGGTTTTCCCAGTTGCAATGGATGGCTGTGAAAGTTGAACCATAAGGAAGGCTGAGCACCAAAGAATGGAGGCCCTTGAACTCTGGTGCTGGAGAAGACTCCTGCGAGTCCCTTGGACTGCAAGGCGATCAAACCAGTCAGTCCTAGAGGAGATCAACCCTGACTGCTCTTTAGAAGGCCAGATCCTGAAGAGGAAACTCAAATACTTTGGCCACCTAATGAGAAGGAAGGACTCACTGGAGAAGAGCCTAATGTTGGGAACGATTGAGGGCAAAACAAGAAAGGGACAACAGAGAATGAGGTGGCTGGATGGAGTCACTGAAGCAGTCGGCGTAAGCTTAAATGGACTCCGGGCAGATGTGGTATTCAGCAGGTTCTGGAGAATCAGCAACCGAAATTTTGAGTAGTTTGGAGAACCGGTAAATACCACCTCTAACTGGCCCTGCCCCCATTCTCTGCCTCTAGAGTCCCAGCTGATCGGGAGGGAATGGGGATTTTGCAGTAACCTTCACCTGGAGTGGGGAGGAAATGAAGATTTTACAGTATCCTTCCCCTGCCATGCCCACCAAGCCACACCCACCAAGCCACGCCACACAGAACCGGTAGTGAAAAATTTTGAATCCCACCACTGACTCTTGAGGATGATAGAGGACAGGAAGGCCTGGAGGAACGTTGTCCATGGGGTTGCGATGGGTTGGACACGACTTCGCAACTAACAATAACAAAATAAAACGCTATGCCACTTACTTCCTGGATATCGCCTGATGAATAACTTGCGCATTTCATCGTAGACCCATATCAAGATGGCAAAAGGCACGGAGACGAACCAATACTGAAACCTAGACAAGAGAAGTTTGGATGGGAATTAGGAAATACACATCATGGATACAAACTTTAAAAAGCAGGGATGATACTATACTACAATCACAGCAACGTGTAATTTTAATGTCGTTAGCCACCGAGAGTCACCACGAGACAGTTGGGCGGCCATATAAATTTGTTTTAATTGATTGTAATTCATTAGCCTAACTAACCACAAGAAGTAAAACATACCGAAGAGGTGTGAAATTCAAGGCATTGATGCTTCCAAGACCGTAACAGAGAATCAAAGCTATTGCTAGCTGTGAAAATATACCGATCCAGATTACTTTGTTCCTGAAAAAAAAAAAAAAATACAGCTAAGGATAATCATATTATTTATGAGATGTGCACATAGCAATAGCACTTAGATTTATTTACCACTTCATAGTGCTTTACGGGCCTCTCTAAGTGGTTTACAGAGTCAGCATATTTGCCCCCAACAATCTGGGTCCTCATTTTACTGAACTTGGAAGGATGGAAGGCTGAATCAACCTTGAACCAATCAGTATCGAACTGCTGGCAGTGGGCTTTCAAGAAGAGACCAGACTGCCACCTGTCAGAAAGGGTGCAGGATCTTCTGCTTGGGTGGGGTGGGGGTTGGACTAGATGACCTACAAGGTCCCTTCCAACTCTGCTAATCTGTATCTACACCAACCTGAAAAGCCCTTGTTGGAAAATGGAGTTCCGTCTGGTCTTCCTGATGATTAAATCCGCCACTTGTTGAATGGTGATGCTGACAAAAAAGGCCGTGTAGCCAGTGAACTGCAAGTTTTTCCGTTGCTCAAAGGTCTGCAGAACATGGAGAAGGAAGAGAAATTAAATTGCTAAGCTCAAGACAGACTTTCATAGCAAAGAGTGGTCTAGGACAGGGATCTCCAACCTTGGCAATTTTAAGCTAGGTAGACTTAAACTAAAGACCCTTTAAGGACTTTGCTTTCATTTCATTTAGAATACGCTGAGAATGAGTTAATTCTCAGCTGTTTTAATAAAATCTGTTTGGTTTTTTTTTTTTTTTTTGGGGAACTGTTTTGCATTTAATATCAACTACATGGGCCTGGGTCACAACATTATCAGCTAACTATGATGGCTTTATAAGGTGTCTTCTAAATTGGTAGCTGCACTGAGTGAAGGAACCCATTTGATCCTTCCTGGAATTTGATGGATGACTTCAAGACTTATATTCGTACCAGCTCAGTAAATGGATTTAGAGAGATTCCTGTGAAATGAATCACCGGAACTATTTTTAGATGTTCCACCCAATATAGCCTAAATTACTAGACAACATAAGAACGGTGTTTTTTTTTTTAGGCTGAACAATGTACAGGGAACACTTCTAATATGAAATCTAATCTTAGTGTTGTGACCTGTCAGCCCTCCAGCAGCCGAATCAAAGGAGGAGGAGGAGGAGGCGTGGGAGTCAGAGGCCAGCATCAAGGCAACCTGAGAGCACCGAGGGGGAAGAGGGAATGGAGCTGGCAGACAGAGAGACAGAGGAGGAGCCTGGGCCGTCCATTAGCCCTCAGATGGAGAGTCAACAGCCCCCAGGTCTGGAGGTGGCTGATGAGGAAGAGGAGAAACAGCTGGATCCAGTGCCTGGCACGTGGATGTGCAGAAGGCAGAGGAGAGGAGAACAGTGGAAATCTATGGGCTGGTCCTTGGGACAGAAGAGCCACCGTTGCTAGCAAAGCCTTACCCTAGTTCTGGGGATAAAAGGCAGGGGGTGGAGATGAATAGGTGTGGCAGACAACTATTCATCTCCCTCCTGGACAGACTTGTTAGCCTGCTGTGTGTGTGTGAGAGAGAGAGAGACTTTTTGCCAGGCTGCTGATGCTCCTAATAAAGGGAGCATTTATTTAACTACAGAGGGTTTGTCTGTTTGGGAGCCCGGTCAAAACACTTAGGAGCTGTGGAACCAGGAAATAAACCATGCAGGACTAGACTTCAGATGTCCATGCCAACAATTCAGTCTCCCAACATTAATGGCTACATATTGTGCGCAAGACATGCAACCAACTGGAAAGACGGATTTGCCAGTGGGTGCTGAAGGAAGCCGAAATCACTCGTTTCAGGGGCAAGGATGCATTGACAACATGAAAGCACATGAAGCTATTTCCAAATTGTACTGAGAAAAGATGTGGCAAGAAACTGTCGGTAGATCGTTTGCTGTAGAATGGGTCAACTGGCAGAACTTTGCAGGCAATGTCATTCTATGCCTGGGGTAGTTTACTGACTAATGTTATTTAACGCTAAACTGGTATGATATCATGGATGAGGCTGATATAGGTTTCACATAATCAGGCCCAGGGCTATCTCATTAGGCTTTGTTATGGAGGTATCTTTGTCAAATCTTGTCTCAGTTCAGAAGGTTAAAGGGGTGGTGGTGGTGGATCTGGTCAGGACATTGGTGAAAGACTATAAGGAAGTCTCACGGCTCTAGGCTAGGTTGGGAAATCAAAAATAATTATCTCGAAAGAAGGCAATCCCAGACTCTACAGAAGAAAACTACGAGGTTACCGAAGTCAACTTCAAAGAGACTAGGACTTTAAAAAAATACTGTTAATGCAGCGGTGAAATCCAAATTTATTTACTACCGGTTCTGTGGGTGTGGCTTGATGGGCGTGGTGTGGCATGGTGGGCGTGGCAGGGGAAGGATACTACAAAATCTCCATTCCCTCCCCACTCTTGGGGGGAAGGATATTGCAAAATCTCCATTCCCTCCCCACTCTTGGGGGGAAGGATATTGCAAAATCTCCATTCCCACCCCATTTGTCGGTTCTCCGAACTGCTCAAAATTTCCGCTACCGGTTCTCCAGAATCTGTCAGAACCTGCTGGATTTCACCCCTGAGTTAATGTCTCTTAATGAATTTAGCACTGAAGAAATTATTACCCTTGCTGTACCAATAGATATTGGGGTGGGGGAAGGTTTGAATCAATGTTGACTACTGTCTGGACTAGTCCTTGCTATCTTCTTGGCATCATTGTTGGAAGAAGTTTGTCCTTGCTTCAGAAGAAAGTGAAGCTTTCTTCAGTTTCTTCAGAAGCTTCTTGGATGAGAAGCGAAACGTTTACAAGGGGGAAAACAAAACCTCCAATAAAAGTCCAGTTGCCTTTTGTAAAAGCAACTTTGGGACAACCGTGACCTAGATGACTAAGAATCTCCATAAACACTTTCTTTGCCTTCTTCCTACAGTTAATAAAGAGTGACTGGCTTAAAGTCACCAGTTGGCTTTGAGGCTAAGGTGGGACACAATTACCGTATTTTTCAGAGTATAAGACGCACCGGATTATAAGACGCTCCTAAATTTACAGGAGGAAAACAAGAAAAAAAATAGTTTTTGGCCTCTGTGTGTCGTGTTTTTGCTCTCACAGGCCCACAGAAGCACTCTGCAGTGCTCTTCATGGCCTATTTTTGCCAAAAACACACCGGTTCTCACCAAAAACAAGCCTGGTTTTGCCAAAAACATAGCCATTCTTGGCCTTCAGTGTGCTTCTGGGGGCCGGGGAAGTCGAAAACACCCGTATTCGGTCTATAAGATAGACCTAAATTTTCACCCACTTTTAGGGGGTGGGAAAGGTACGTCTTATACTCCAAAAAATATGGTAAGTGGAATCTTTCTTCTCCTGGACTGGTCCTTGTCTTTGACCCAGCATAATGGATGCCTTCAATGAATGAGATTTGCAACAAGAATGTACCCATTCTTGTCCATAGCTGTCCGGCAAGTCAGCCAAATTTTCCTGTTCCCACGGAATTCGGATATGGAGGAGAGAGTGAGGAAGCCATCCTTGCTCAGCATAAACAGTGAAATAGGTCAAAAAGGCTCCAATGGTTTGGAGAAGGCCTGCAAGAGAGATGAAAGGGTTGGCTTTTATAGGAGAAGAAAGCTGATGAAAAAAAAGATTAGAAGAACATCTACCCCACTGTTGTCTCTGGAGGCATTTGGACCTCAGTTAGCAGGATCCTGGTCATTCAAAATGAGAAATAGTCTCCACGTTCACCCACAAAGATCCACCCCCAACACCTACTCATTCCTCTCTGGTAAGAATTTCCTGTATCATACCGATTTGCAAGTAGGAGTAGACTGCAAGCTCCTGGTTGACCAGTCGGTCTCTTTTTTTGTGCCTTGGTTTCCTCTTCATGATGTCACTTTCCGCTTTTTCATAGGCCAAGGCAACGGAAGGAATCTGTACGAGGAAAGACAAGAAGTTGTTAGGAATACTCATACATTTGTTTGATTTGTGTTTACTCTACAGAGAAAGTAGCAGCGGTGGGTTTCCAATATTCTTACCACTGTTTTGCCCCGTGCGCATGGACTTGCGCCCGGCCTCGAAAACTTGCCTAAACAGGATTCTATAGAGCCAGGTGGGTGGGCGGGCCCACCTTCAATCTCCACTACCGGTTCACCCAAACTGGTACGAACCGGCTGAATATCACCTCTAGAAAATACATGCCAAGAATGTCTAACCTACAATACCCCTATTAACCTAGGAAAGGGGTCTGCAACCTTAAATACTCAAAGAGCCATTTGGACCTGTTTTCCACAGAAAAGAAAACACTGGGAGTAACAAAAGTGGAGTGGGCATGGCCAACTCAATGTCACTCACTTCCACCAGTCACATGACCCCCCCCCTAGCCATGCCTACCCAGCCGGTCATTAAGGCAGAGAACCAGTTGTTAAAAAACACCAGGAATCACAAAATCCTTTTGACATATTTCTCTCTCCCTTCCCTCCCTCTCTCTCCCCTTTCTCTCCCTCTCTCTCTGTATCTCTCTATGTCTTTCTCTCTCCCACTCTCTCTGTCTCTGCCCTGGCCGCTTCTCCATCCCCCGCCATTGCCCTTACCTTCTCAGGCCAGGCGAGGAGTGACTGGGAGGGGAGGGCGAGAGGCGGGGCCAGCCAGTGCTGGGATCACCTGACAGGGAGCCACAGCAGAAGGCCCAAAGAGCCACATGCGGCTCTGGAGTCACAGGTTGCTGACCTCTGATTTAGGATGGTATTCAAGGAAGTACCAGACTAGTAAAGAACAACCTAATCAAGAAACCACCAAGAACATTCTCACAGACATTGACAGGCAAGCCACTAGTACATAAACAGAGAGGAAAAACCCACTGCCTTCTAGCACTGATGATGTTACCTTGTTGGGTCATGAAACATCTGTAAGAAAACTACCAAGTTCAGAGAGCATCAAGGACCCCACAAGTCTACCCTAGGCTTCTCCAACTTAATTCCCTTGGATGTGACGAATCACTTGTTTTGTGAGACGGCCGGCTATACAAAATTGACAAATTCTAGCACTGTGGCAGTGAGATTTTTCTTTGGCTAGAGCTGGGGAAAATGGTTAGGATTAAGCTACAATCTGAGAATTAGCCCCTTCGATCTCAGAGGGACTTAAAAGAAATTTGTGCTGATGTTGGCAGTTGAATCAGGACTTCTTTCATTAAGTTTTGGGTATCCCTTTCCCATTTTGTTTTAAATTATTAGCAGAAAATGGGAAGATAGCAATGAGTATAATTTTAAGTCTGGTGCTGCCCAATTATTTGGGTCAGGGTACAGCAACCTGCGACTCTGGAGCCGCATGTGGCTCTTTCACCCCTCTGCTGCGGCTCCCTGTCACTCAAAATAGGCGTCACAACCGCCAATGTGCGACACCTGCCGGCACATGATTTATTGAGCTTTTCAACCCCTGGTAGGCCAACCATGGATAAATCCAAGAAAAGAAAAGTTTCAGAAGAAAACAGAACATTTAATTCAACTACATTTGCTAGTTTTGTGGCCGCTCAAGAAATAGTCAGGCATGGGAAGAATTTTGTGGCTCCCGGTGTTTTCTTTTCTGTGGGAAATGGGTCCAAATGGCTCATTGAGTGTTTAAGGTTGCAGACTCCTGGGTGAACATGCATATGAGAAAGAGGAAGAAATCAAGAACTCACAATATCTGTGCCCAGGTCAATAAAGAGGATGGTAATGGTGCCAATAGGGAGGGGTATGCTGGCAATGATGTAAATCAGGAAAGGACATAACTCGGCGATGTTTTTGGTCAATGTGTAGGCAATTGTTTTCTTCAAGTTGTCAAAAATCAGGCGGCCTAGAGCAGGGAGACAAGAAGATCATTGAGAGCTGCCTGAATACAGCATGCCACCTTCTGAAATCTACAACTCCTTTATCAGTTTAATCTGAATATTGTTGGTGGCTGTGCCTCTTAGAACACAATTCCAAGGAAGCTTATATTTCTTTGAGTATCATTACTTGCGCTGAAAAAAAATCAGCTTTCCAGCAATATTTCCAGGGCTAAGCATTAGTATTTTCAATATGTCTTTCCCTTTGAAAGTGCAACAAGGGTAGACTTCATCCGTGGACAACTTCAGATCACTGCTGCAGAGGAGATGTTCTCAACATCTGATTCATTTCATAGAGAACGGCGAATCAAATGCTACAAAATGTGACCAATTCCTGTTATTATATGAAGATAAGTAACGAACCATAAAGCTCTAAAAATTAAATGGATGGATGGATGGATGGATAGATGGACGGATGAATTTGAGATAAATTGGGCTGAGTTTGGCCATGATTGGGGCATATGACAAGTTAAAAACCAATAAAGGTTGTTGTTTATCAGATATTGTGGCGATGATGGTTATGAAATTGTCTTCATATTTTCATAGGGATTCTTTTCTAGACATGTCCAGCTTGCCCTCAGATACATCAGAATTCCATGATCCATCCAGCTTTAGCAGTGAAGTCCCCCCCCCTTTCTTTAAAGGTATACCAACAAATCACGTGTGTGGCTAAGGTTCAAATCATGGCCTGCTCATCTTACCTTCTTCAACTCCAGTAACAATGGATGCAAAGTTATCATCCAGCAAGACCATATCTGCTGCATTTTTAGCTGCATCAGAGCCAGCAATCCCCATCGCAATTCCGATATCTGCTTTCTTCAAAGCTGGTGAATCATTGACTCCATCGCCAGTTACAGCAACTACCGCTTCCTGGAGGACACAAAGATTGAAGAGTATGAGATACACCATGTCAATTTTAAGTCCTGTGGACTTCCAACCATGTCAACTTTAAGACCTGCGGACATCATGTCCAACCATGTCAACTTTAAGACCTGTGACATCATGTCCAACCATGTCCAACCATGTCAACTTAAGATCTGTGGACATCATGTCCAATCATGTCCAACCATGTCAACTTTAAGACTTGTGAAGTTCCAACCATGTCAACTTTAAGACCTGTGGACATCATGTCCAACCATGTCCAACCATGTCAACTTTAAGACCTGTGGACATCATGTCCAACCATGTCCAACCATGTCAACTTTAAGACTTGTGAAGTTCCAACCATGTCAACTTTAAGACCTGTGGACATCATGTCCAACCATGTCCAACCATGTCAACTTAAGATCTGTGGACATCATGTCCAACCATGTCCAACCATGTCAACTTTAAGACTTGTGAAGTTCCAACCATGTCAACTTTAAGACCTGTGGACATCATGTCCAACCATGTCCAACCATGTCAACTTAAGATCTGTGGACATCATGTCCAATCATGTCCAACCATGTCAACTTTAAGACTTGTGAAGTTCCAACCATGTCAACTTTAAGACCTGTGGACATCATGTCCAACCATGTCAACTTTAAGACCTGCGGACATCATGTCCAACCATGTCAACTTTAAGACCTGTGGACATCATGTCCAACCATGTCCAACCATGTCAACTTTAAGACCTGTGGACATCATGTCCAACCATGTCCAACCATGTCAACTTTAAGACTTGTGAAGTTCCAACCATGTCAACTTTAAGACCTGTGGACATCATGTCCAACCATGTCCAACCATGTCAACTTAAGATCTGTGGACATCATGTCCAATCATGTCCAACCATGTCAACTTTAAGACTTGTGAAGTTCCAACCATGTCAACTTTAAGACCTGTGGACATCATGTCCAACCATGTCCAACCATGTCAACTTTAAGACCTGTGGACATCATGTCCCAACCATGTCCAACCATGTCAACTTTAAGACCTGTGGACATCATGTTAGCCACCCATGCTAGCTGGGGAATTCTGGGATTTGAAGTCCATAGGTCTTAAAGTTGAAGTCCACAAGTCTTGAAGTTGCCAAAGTTGACCACTCCGATATGTGTGTGTGTGTGTGTGTGTGTGTGTTCCAAATTATTCCCTTGCTTGAGTCCTGTTGTGTTGGCATTTGTGATTTGAGATCTGCAGATAAATATTATGAAAAAAAATTACACTATCAAAAATGTTATTATTCTGCTACAGGGATGGCCAAAAGAATTATTATTACTATTCGAAAGGGTCTAATCTTTTGCAACAGATTGTTGGTATGCATGATGTGTGAACATTTGAACTCAATTTTTTTCCCCTGACCCAACGATAAGAAAGAATACTTAATTTAAAAAAAAAAACGGATCATAGTTTTGGTACTTGCTTTGTTTACAATTTTTTTTCAAATATTTTTCTCCCCGTTGATCTGTTTTCAATTTTTTTTTTGAATCTATAATTTCAGTGTGAGACAGAATTGGAACAATTAAATAAATTCTGCTCGTTCCAAGCGGATTGATGCCTGATCCTGCTCTAGGCAGTTTGGGAAAGCAAAGCCATTGTATCAGTTCTAATAACATTTCAAAGGGATTATGAAAGAGGTTGTTAACCTTGCCCCAAATTGTCTCTTAATCATGCCCGAAGGAAGTGGAATGAAGCTAAACCTTCCACATTGTGGAATGAAGCTAAACTTCAGTTCTTGCTTTGCCTTTTGCAAGTGGAAAATAACACAATTTGGGGGGGGGGGGGGTTTTTTCTTCTGGGGTTGGGGTGGATTTGGGAAAGGCAAAAAAGAGAGGGGGGGAGAGAGGGGGGGTGGAGGGAGAGGGAGAGAGAAGAGGAGAGAATTTGCTTTCCTACTAAGAGACTCAACTGGTTCAGATAGCTGAGTTCTGTTTGCATAGTGTTTCATTGAGCAGTGAACCCAAAGTTTATTGCAGCTCTGTAATATCAGGGGGAAAAGATCTGAATATCAATCAATCAGAATAGAGCAGGAAGGGACCTTGGAGGTCCTCTATTCCAACCCCCTGCTCAAACAACAATCCCTATAATCATTTCAGACAAGTGGCTGTCCACATTCTCTTCTTAAAAACCTCCAATGATGGAGCACCCACAACTTCTGGTGGCAAGCTGTTCCACTGGCTAATTGTTCTCCCTGTTAGGAAGTTTCTCCTTAGTTCCAGGTTGCTTCTCTCCATGATTAGTTTCCATCCATCGCTTCTTGTCCTGCCTTCTAGTGCTTTGGAGAATAGGTTGACCCTCTCTTCTCTGTGGCAGCCTCTCAAACAATTCAGGTTTAAAGGTATGGAAGAAGCACTGTGAGTTGTAGTTTCTGAATGGAGTCATCAAATGTTAGACTGGCATTTGTTTCTTGTTAGTGTGGACTTAAAGGTTAAGTCCACCTCCAGATAGAGACCTACACATGACACGGTAGTAGGTAGCAATGGAAGACTTTTGAGAGTATTGTGAGCTGAAGTAGAGAGAAGGTCTTAGAGGGAAGCAGATGCAGAGAATCTCAATTGGAAAGCATCCATACCTTTGACGTTGCCATCAATTACATGGTGCCCAACAGTTTAAGAGGATGGAGCTACTAAATGTCAATAGAATGTGTACAATAGATTCTTCGGCTTTGCCAGAGCTAAAAGCTACTTTGGATGTAGCTAGTAGCAAAATAAGAAGAGTGGATCTTTCAGAACAAGAAGCCAAGGAGCAAAACTAAGTGAGCATCACTGAACAAACCAACATCGACAAAGCAAGCTTAGCTTGATCTTATTTGTCTACTATAATTTGTTCCCTTTGGATTAGAAGTCATCCACTGTGAAAAGTATACAGTCGTGCAACCTCCTTCGCCCAACAGAGGTTCTTCTCTTCTCCTTACCTGTCTTTGACAGCCCTCCACGATGATCAGCTTTTGCTGCGGCGAAGTACGGGCAAAGACAATCTCTGAATGGTGGATTAGGATGTCGTCCAATTGTTCTAAAGTCATGTCCTTCAGCTCCATGCCATTAACCACAGCTGCTTTGGCCTCTCTGCAAAACCAGAGATAAAGGTAAAGGATTTACTGGTCAGCATTAGGTGGTAACTGGGGACATGGTGGATCAGTGGCTAAGATGCTGAGCTTGTCGATCGAAAGGTCAGCAGTTCAGCAGTTGGAATCCCTAGTGCTGCTTAACAGGGTGAGCTCCTGCTACTTGTCCCAGCTTCTGCCAACCTAGCAGTTCAAAAGCAGGTAAAAAATGCAAGTAGAAAAATAGGGACCACCTTTGGTGGGAAGGTAACAGCGGTCCATGCATTTTTGGCATTGAGTCATGCCAGCCACATGACCACGGAGACGTCTTCGGACAGCACTGGCTCTTCAGCTTTGAAACAGAGATGAGCACCGCCCCCTAGAGTCAGGCTCACAAGAGCCTGGTAGTACAGTGAACTAAAGCACTGTTATTAACATTCAGCTGCCTGCAATTACTGCAAATTCAAATCTCACCAGGCTCAAGGTTGACTCAGCCTTCCATCCTTTCTAAGGTAGGTGAAATGAGGACCCAGTTTGTGGGGGCAATAAGCTGACTTTGTATAAATATACAAAAGTATGAAGGCTATTGCTTAACGCATTGTAAGCCACCCTGAGTCTCCGGAGAAGGGCGGCATATAAATTAAAGCAAAAAAAAAAAAAAAAAGGAATGACTAACATATATGTGCGAGTGGAACCTTTACCTTACCTTTACCTTATTAGGTGATAAACAACAATGTGTCTTGTTTAGTTCTGTCTTGGAAGATTATGTAAGTATATCAACCATCACAGTTTGCAAAACCATGGCTTAGTGTTATTTGTAAGTGAGATTCTGTTGATGTAACCTCACAATAAAGTTAGAGATAGTACTTCTGGGTGTGCTGAACTACCTCGCAAAACTGACAACAATCTTGCAAGTCTGAAAAGTACAGTAGTACCTCAGTACTCATCGTTATTTGGTTCTGGGAGGCACAATGAGTACTAAAAACGATGAATACCAAACCATAAGATTTTTCCCATAAAGAATAATGTAGTAAGTCACAAAGCAGCTGGCAGCAACAACTTTTAACTTGTGCATTGAGTATCAAACAAACAATGAGTACCGGGACAACATTTTCATGCCAAAATAGCAATAGCACTTATATACCTCTTTATAGTGCTTTTACAGCCCTCTCTAAGCAGTTTACAGAGTCAGCCTCTTGCCCCCACATTCTGGGTCCTCATTTTACCCACCTCGGAAGGATGGAAGGCTGAGTCAACCTTGAGCCTGGTGAGATTTTAAACTGCCAAATTGCAGGCAGCCGGCAGCCAGCAGAAGTAGCCTGCAGTACTACACCCTAACCACTGCGCCACCAAGGTTCATGCATTGAGTACCAACTTTGATGAGTTTCAAAGCAGTTGAGTACCAGGGTTACTACGGTACATCTCCCCCACCTCATCTTTACATGCAAGAAGAGCCTTGGTAGTACAGTGGTCTAAAGCACCCTGTTATTAAGACCAGCTGCCTGCAATTACTGCAGGTTCGAATCTCGCCAGGCTCAAGGTTGACTCAGCCTTCCATCCTTTCTAAGGTAGGTAAATTGAGGACCCAGTTGTGGGGGCAATAAGCTGACTTTGTATAAATATACAAAAGGATGAAGGCTATTGCTTAGCGCATTGTAAGCCGCCCTGAGTCTCTGGAGAAGGGCGGCATATAAATCAAATTTTAAAAAAAAGAAGAAGAAGCTAGGCGAGGATCCCTTCTGAGATGTTTACCATGTCCCTATTCCTTCTGTGGGCTCAGCTGCTTCTTATCAGACTGTTGTCTAATCAGCAGCTCTTCCTCCTGTCTCCCAAGGTGACTTTCACATACCATTCCGAGACCTTGGAAGGAGAGGTTACTTTCTCCCATCCATTTCTGTGCCATCCTTACCGTTTGTTCACCTGTTCAACAGGAATGTTGAGGCGCTTAGCGATGTCTTCCACTGTCTCACTGGTAGCTGAAATGATCCCCACACTCTTAGCAATGGCTTTCGCTGTAATAGGATGGTCGCCTGTCACCATTATTACCTGCAGAATGAATTAATGGTGGAAAAAAAATCAGTCCAAGATGTGTCTCTCCTAAATATTTTCCAGGTCCACTAAAATAGACCATCTGCTACTGGTCATGACTTTGGGTATCACATTCCTTTCCAGAGATAAAATTTCAATAGGAAATAGGAAAAAACCATTGAATATGAATGTCTATAGAGATTCTCGGTCATCCAGGTCATAGTTGGCCCAAAGGTATTTTTTTCAAAAGGCCACTGGACTTTCTTTGTTTTCGCTTGAAGATGTTCTGCTTCTCCAAGAACTGAAGGAGCTTCTTCGATGAGAAGCAAAATGTCTTCAAGCAAAAACAAAGAATGTCCAGTTGCCTTTTGAAAAAGCACCTTTAGGGAATTGGGTATGAAAGGTCTACAACGAATTGTCCTTTTGTATTGTCATAATATTTAAGAGGATGGATGGATGGATGGATGGATGGATGGATGGATGGATGGATGGATGGATGGATGGGATTGTTGAGTTTTGAAATTGTGCTTGTGTCAGCACTCCAAACTACATTCGTTCCAGTGCTGACATAAGGAGGAGAAGAGGGGGCAGCTGGTAAGAGGACGCTTGACTTTTCACCTACTTATTTTCCCTGAAGTTAATATCCCCTAGGAGATGGGATGGGAGGGGGGACATTCCTGGGAGCTGAAGTAGTAGATATGGGGAGAGTGATTTGGGAAGAGGGCCAATGAGACGCAGAGAATTGGGGAACGGAAAGGGAAGGTTTGGGGTCAGGAAGTCAGTGTTGGCTACGACAAGTTGGGGGGACAGATTGTCGTGCTTAATAAATGAAAGATTTCATCAAAGACTATTTGTTTGGAAATGCAATTTATTTGAGACAACACCGAAACCTGACAGCTTGTTTTGGAGCTTTGAGAAATTGGGTATGAAAGATCTACAATCAATTGTCCTTTTGTATTGTCATAATATTTAAGAGGATGGATGGATGGATGGATGGATGGATGGATGGATGGATGGATGGGATAGTTGAGTTTTGAAATTGTGCTTGTTTTGGAGCTTCCTTTGTTCATGGGAATTATTGCTCTGAAGATTTGGAAATTATTGTCCTTTGTTACTTTGGGGGAAAACCTACCTTGATCCCAGCACTACGGCATTTCATTACAGCATCTGGGACAGTAGATCGAGGAGGATCAATCATTGACATGAGTCCCACGAAACAAAGACCATTGGTAGGAAAGTTCATGGAATCGGTGTTGAATGCATAGTTCTCTGGAAATTCTTCTTCTGGCAGATGCAAATGACAGAAACCTAGATTCAAGCAAGAAACCACAAAACAAACTAGGTTAATAGTGGGGAAAAAATGATATTCTAATAACCATCACATTTTATGGATCAGGTATCCTACACAAATATCCTATTTGTGATCCTCCCCAGCTTCCTTTAACCTGCGCTTAGTAATATCTAAATTGAGTTTAATCTCTTGGGTAACACATTATCTTGTTAAATGTGTCCAAGAAAATAGCCAGCAGAGCACTTATGTCAGCAATACACAGTAAAAAAAAAAAAAAAACCCAGTGGAATCAATTTATAGAAGCAACTTAAGCAACTCAAAGCTTGTATCTTAAAAAGAAGTAAGTGGGAGGCCAACTAGTAATTAAACTTACGTATTTGCTTTCCTCTGCTTGGTTTAGCACAGTCTTATAAATAAATGCCACCCAACAGTATTGCCAAATAAAAGTTATGACTGTTTCTCTAGAACAGGGCTGACAACAGAAAGAGCAAATTTGTACATTTGTTTGTTTACAGAAGTCTCGGGTGAATGGTGAGATCTTCCAAGCATAGAGATGTCCGAAATGGGTAGGATTTGATAGTCGAACAGTTTCAAGGACAGTTTGGGAACGTGTTGTTTTCACCTGTCATGGGACATTTGGATGCTGTGGTGGCTGAAGCTTGCTAAACACTTCATTGGAGACCTAATTAATATTCTGGAATTCTCAGAATATTAATAGAAAAGAATAAGGTTCAATTGTGAAGCCCTTGATGCTCTCTGAGCTTGGTTGTTATCTTACAGATATTTGCAGACCCCCAGTTCCTTCTAGCACTGATGATGTTACCTAGAAACATCTGCAAGAAAGCAACCAAGCTTCAGAGAGCACCGAGAGGCCCATTTTCATGTCTGAAGGACACCTAGTGGGTGAAGATGCTCTAGGACAGGAGTGTTGAACTCAATTTCATTGAGGGCCGCATCAGGGTTGTGTTTGACCTCGGGGGGCCAGGGTGGGCGTGGCCAGCTCAATGTCACTCATGTCGGGGGCTCCTGTGTTGGCCCTAGCGCTCTGCCAGCGAAAATGGGCTCGCGAGCTCCATTTTTGGCTGGAACAGCTTCCTGCAACCTTCTGCCAGCAAAAACAGAGCTTGGGAGGGCCGCACGTGTCTCTCGCAAGCTCCATTTTTGACTGGGATGGACTCCTGCAACCCACCCGAGCTCCATTTTCACTGGCAGAGGTACCACAGGCCAGTCCTTCACTGTTTCCAAGATGGCCCCATGAGCCAGATCTACCCACCCCACAGGCCAGATCTGGCCTGCCGGCCTTGTGTTCGATGCAACCCTTTCTAATAACCTTTTCCTGTTAATTAAAAAAAAATGTATTTGCAAATCTTGACAGCCATACTTAAAACTTCTATCATAAGATTGAAGAAAATACCCAGTTGAATATCACAGAGCTTGTTATTTTGAATATGTAAAAAATAATATAAAAATTAATTAATTCCACAGCGATTAACAAATGCAGGACCTGCCTGTATTTTACTTGCTTTATGTTCAGATGTGGTTAATAATAGAGTTCTGCAAAACTATGATTTTCATTTCAGTGGGTTGTAAGATCCACGTGGCACACTTAAAGGCAACATATTGAATATTTCTAGTACTGACTACCATTTAGTATTTTTATGGCTACTAAAATACTGTTAGATTTGAAATAATAACTATTCCTAGACTCCTATCTATCTATCTATCTATCTATCTATCTATCTATCTATCTATCTATCTATCTATCTATATCTATATCTATCTATCTATCTGTCTATATCTATCTATCTATCTATCTATCTATATATATATAATCTATCATCTATCTATCTAATCTATCTATCTAATCTATCTATCTATCTAATTATCTATCTATATCTATCTATCTATCTATCTATCTATCTATCTATCTATCTATCTATCTACCTCTATCTATCATCTATCATCTATCTATCAATCTAATCTATCTAATCTATCTATCATCTATCTATCTATCTATCTATCTATCTATCTATCTATCTATCTATCTATCTATCTATCTACCTGTATCTATCATCTATCATCTATCTATCTATATAATCTATCTAATCTATCTATCTATCTATCTATCATCTATCTATCTATCTATCTATCTATCTATCTATCTATCTATCTATCTATCTATCTATCTATCTATTTTACATTGCCTCCTTCCAGAGTTACAGTTGAGCCAAACTCGCTCCTTTTACTTACCAAGTACTCTTTCTCCCATTCCACCTAGGGCCAAATATGCTGTTTGGAATGCTTCTGCTTTCTCCTCATCCAGAGGCTCTTCTTTTCCGTTAACCAGCATGGTTGTGCATCTCTCTAAAATCCTTTCAGGAGCCCCTTTCATCACCAGCAGGAAACGCTTGTCATTAGGATCGTCAGTTTCATGGATGGAGAGCTGAAGTCAAAGGAGAAGCAATGACTGAAATGCACTGATCTATTGAGGGGTGGAGTCGGAGCCTCTGAATGGAGCTGAGTGTTTATTGGCCGGATGCCTTTCCTGTTGCCAATGCAAAGTTTGCAGCAGATATATTCTCATCGTGCCCAAAGAGAGAAATATCTGCCTCTACCAAGGATCAAACTCACAGCCTCCTGATTGTGAGGCGACAGCTCCACCTCTATATATCATAACATGTGGGCCACACAGGCCTGGGATCATAGTCCCACCATTCAGTGACACCAGGAAAAGAAGTTGGCCTGAGAGAGAAAAAACTAGTTCTTAATGTCAACTTGCAAAGCTTTCAAGTTGCCATGAGCAGGAGGGAGGGAGAACTGAAGTGAATTCCATACATTCTTTCTGACCGCAATCAGAAGGAGGGTGTTAGGTTTCACAGCAGCCAAAGTGGTTAATTGGAGAATGTGATTTATGACATGGCCAGAGAGGAGGGGAGAGACAGGGTCATAGGGGAACGTAAATCTACGTAGGATCAGTCCTAACTGCATCCTAGTATTGCCGGAATGTTGCTCCTAATAAATGACTATATTTCCTTTGAAGTTTGGATCATGGCTCATGAATTAATTAGGGCATCTTTCGGAAACTTGACACTTATTTAGTAAAATTACAATGTCACTGAACATTTAAATTACAGCTACTGGGTTGACTCCCAAATCAATTGGATTGTGTACGTCTTCGAAATTGCAAGCCACTGCGCTGGTTTCTTTTTAGTTCTTAGATTCATAACTGATTTTGATTTAGCAGCTTAAGACAACTAACATAGAGATCTCCCTTCTTTTATCCCCACAATAAATTTGCAAATTCGCTTCGGCCAATGTTTTCCAACACAGAGGATAGGCTTGAAACTGGTCTCCCCAGTTTAAAAAAATCACCTTTGCTTTGTTGTGTGTGTGTGTCCATATATACGCACATGCATACAAATCAGCCTTAACTGATGACTACCAAGGTTAGTCCCTACAGTTTTCTTAGTGAGATTTTTCAAAACTGGTTTGTCATTGCCTTCTTCCTATGGCAAGATTTCCACTTCTAATTTCCAAGGGTCTAACTCATTAAATAGTATAAGGGGTGAACTTCAGCAAACAGGATTCCTCCATTTGGCGGTCCTTGATTCGTGGAAGACCATTCTGGAGTCTAATAAACCTTTTCAACACAGTGAATGGAACTAAACATTAAAAAATGGAAAATGTTTCCCTGTCCAGTCATGTCCGATTCTAAGGACCAGTGCTCATCTCCATTTTTTTGCCCGAGAAACTCAGCGTTGTCCAAAGACGTTTTCCGTGGTCGTGTAGCCAGCATGACTATACACCAAAGGTACACAGAATGCTGTTACCTTCCCACCAAAGTGGTACCTATTCATCTACTTGCATTTGCATGCTTTTGAATAATAACCTCACCCCGGCTAAAATACGACCTCATTTTCTTCAAGATGATCTATTTTTCACCCAGGCATCTTGCAGTGTTTTAGTTCACAGGACAGCCCAGAAAATCAAATATTACCTGATACTTGTTAGTGGAATTGAAGGGGATTTCAGCCACTTTCCGGTTTTTCTTCCTAATGTCCATGACGTCGCCCAAAACCACTTCTGAGAACTTTAGAAGAGCTGTTTCTGAAGCATCTCCCACGACTATTCTCTGGAGATTTTGAAAATTTACCTCAGTAAAAAATCTCACATCCCAAAATTATTGTGTACATTTTTGTTACATTAACTTTTCCCTTTATCATATATTGTATCTTTGATTTGAGCCTCATTATAAAAGAAAAAATACAATCATTTTTCATGATAAACAATAAGGGACTTGTTTAAATGAATTCTGAAAAAAGACAGCTTTCCACACTAAAAGTCACATGGCTTCTAAACACTTCCAAATAGTCTCTTAATATGGTTTAAATACACAGCCCACAATTTAAATTTTCCCCTCACCACAAGGACAGAGCTGCAGCTCATTTGGTATTTTATGGATTTTGAGAGGGGCAAAATGTTTTTAGCCCATTTGCGATATGTCTGAATTTGGGATCGGAAAGTAAGAAAATGTGATATATTTTCTTGAACCAAACTGTGTTTGTTCATAACACCAACAGATTCTTTTAAGGGAACATTTTATGTTAAAAAAAAAAAGAAAGAAAAGCAATCACTCAGAGGTGGAAAACCTCTGTCTTTCCAAATGCTTGATGAACTACAAATCCCATCATCCTTATCTATTGGCAAAGAGTTGTGGAACCCCAAGGTTGCCTACTCATATCTTAGATGTTGCAAAATGAACTTTGTCTACGGAGATTCCGAGTCATCCATGTGATGGTTGTCCCAAAAGTGATTTTTTCAAGAGGCAACTGGACTTCCTTGTTTTTCTTTGAAGACGTTTCGCTTCTCATCCAAGAAGCTTCTTCAGCTCTGACTGGATGGTGGGTAATCCCTTGAAGTGAAACGTCTTCAAAGAAAAACCAGAAAGTCCAATTGTCTTCTTGAAAAAGCACCTTTGGGACAAAATGAATTTTCTGTTTCCAAATTAAATTCAGAAATCCCCAAAACATCTTTTAATGGAATCTTTCATACCTTCATGATGGGTACATTTTCTTGGCCTGGCCTAAATTCAGCCCGGTTACAAAGGGAGACGATTTTGGATAACGCAGCCCATGTGCCTGACGTTTGGTCAAAAGATTGATCTGAAAACAAAAGGAGCAACAATTATTGTCTGATAAATAACAAGGTGTTGAGTTCCAAAACCCAAAAAAAGACAGGATAAGAATCTTCTAAGCAGTTTCTGATATTGTTCCTCATCCATAGATGGAAATCTTGCTAAACTAAAACAGACTACTTGCATCGTAAAATATATACTCTGGGAACTATTAGGGAGGAACTGTCTTCACCTTCTTTCTCCCACACAAATCGAGCTGTCTCTTGCTCCTCTGGAATTCAGCCCCTCCCTCCTGGGAATCCAGACTACATTCCATCACAGCCCTTCTCTTTTAACCATAGACTGATTATTTACTTGATTGATCTTCACTGGTGTCCGCTGAGTAGACTTCGTTGTCAAACCACAGGTGAGCTACGGTCATTCGATTCTGGGTCAGCGTTCCTGTCTTGTCGGAGCAGATGACAGAAGTGGATCCCAGTGTCTCTACGGCTTCCAAATTCTTTACCAAGCAATTCTTTTTGGCCATTCTCTTGGCGGTCAAGGACAAGCTTACCTATCAATGAAAGGGATGGAATACGTCAGGTACAAGAAGTCAGGAACTAGGATAGAGTTCAAAAGTACTATTTCATGCTACTTATAACCAGAGTCTAATCTACTAATGGTCCAGAAGAATTGGCGGCAGATAACAGTCAACAGATTTCAAGGGGGGCAGGACTTAGGTCTCTTATGGGGGCGTAGAGACTCTAAACTGATGATGCTTTTGACCCCGCCTTCAGGCACAGCCTGGTTGTCTCCTTACAGAAAAGTCAAGTGATTTAAACAGATGTCTCTAAGCAAGGATCAGAGTTTTTGCACCATTCCATCCATGATCCTCATTTATTCATTTTGTTTGTCATTTCAGTTCTACCATGGCCCATTTGCATGGTCCTAATGGAGCTTGCCCATCGTGGTCGTAAATCAGGAGAGTGATAATCTGGGTTGGCCATGTGACTGACCTAATTTTTTCTTTCTGCAATGGTTGTTAAGCGAATCACCGCAGCGAAACCATGAAGGCTTCTTCGTATCCTGACAGGCATGGTTTGTCACCACTTGCACCAAAGAAGTTTCTTTATCATTCCAATTTAATGTCCTGGAAGGTCCTACTCTGAAAACTAGCTAGACCTGATCCACTTTTAGTCACCACACTCTAAAAAAGAGGTTGAGACCCTAGAATGAGTGCAGAGAAGAGCAACCAGGATGATTAGGGGACTGGAGGCTAAAACATACAAGAATGGTTGCTGGCTAGTCTAGTGAAGAGAATGACCAGGGGAGACAGGATAGCAATCTTCCAATATTTGAGGGGCTGCCACAGAGAGGAGGGGGTCAAGCTACTTTCCAAAGCACCTGAAGGCCAGACAAGGAATAATGGATGGAAACTGACCAAGGAGAGATTCAACCTGGAAATGAGAAATTTTTTGACAGCGAGAACAATCAACCGATGGAACAGAAGTTGCCTTTGGAAGTTGAGGGAGCTTCATCCTTGGAAGCTTTCAAGAAGAGACTAGACTGCCATCTGTCAGAAATGGTGTAGGGTCTCCTGCTTGGGCAGGGGGTTGGACTAGATGACCTACAAGGTCCCTTCCAACTCAGTTAACCTGTAACTTACTTGTCAGCCAGGTTCTGCTACTAGCACAAACTACAGAATGACTGGAAGGAGCTACAAAGGAGAACCAACAATGTGCCAGAGACCTTTGCATTACTTAAGAAAGTTCTAAAAGTCCACCACAACATATTGAAAGTTGAAATGCCACGAGGATTCAAGCAGAACAGAAGCTTCATTACAAGAGAAGCCACCGTTTGGAGAACATTCCCACCCAGCATTATGAGAAGTCTTCTAATAGAAGTTGTGTTCGGTAGAAGACAATGGTGCAACCTGTTTTCACATGCAGACCCAGAGTTCTGCAGAATTATTGATGGTGCAAGGAAGCAACACATACTCACCGTCACTGTAGCTAACAGTCCCTCAGGCACATTGGCCACAATGATACCGATGAGGAAGATGACGGAATCCAGGACATGGTAATGCATTGAGACAGCAATGATGAAGAAAAGCACTCCGATGGAGATAGCAACACCAGCCACAATATGGACAAAGTGCTCTATCTCGAGAGCAATGGGCGTCTTCTCATTCCCCACTCCAGATGCCAGGGAGGCAATCCGGCCAATGATAGTGTTGTCACCCGTGTTGATCACAATCCCCGTAGCAGTACCTAAGAGAAAGGATTGATTAGCAAGAAGATTAGACCAACAGAAGAGAATAGTTGTACGTCAAGGGTGACCTGAGGGGTCCTTGGTGCTCTCTGAGCTTGTAGACATTTCATGACCCAACTAGGTAACATCATCAATGCTAGAAGGGAGTGGGGTTTGCTCTCTGTTTATATACAAGTGGCTTGCCCTGTCAGTGTTAGTGTCAGGGTTCCAAGTAACACCCCCAATGAAGAAAGACTCTGAGGCTTGAAGTTCCTCAAAGTTCCATTTTATTAGAGATGTCATATTGGCACATCTGGGAAAACCCAAATCTGAAAGTTTCCAGGTTTTCCCCACCCGAAGAAAAGTCCAAGTCCCTGCCCAGCACCCACAGGTCCATCACATGGTCCAACCAAAGCACCATCCCAACTGGAGATGCCTCCCAGTTCCAGTCGTCCAGGTGCAGGGCAAGATGTCCTTGACTCTCTGAGAAAGGAATGTTATTATGACTACATATCACCCCTGCTCCATACAATCCCCCCTCCCAGTTTCCCACAGTAGTAAATGTGGCAGGTCTGGAGGCCTAATGCAAAAGATGACTTCCAGGCCTGACAGTTGGTGGGAGTGTTTTTGGGTGGTTTCAAGTGAACACTTCCACCAACACTGGCAAAGCAAGCCAGGGTATATAAACAGAGAGCAAACCCCACTCCCTTCTAGCCCTGATGATGTTATCTAGTTGGGTCATGAAACATCTGCAAGAAAGCAGCCAAGCTCAGATATCACCAAGGTCCCCAAAGAAGGCTATACATTACATTGATAAACTGAACGTTCCTTCCATTCAAGTTCCCTTCTCATGACCCTGCCTTTTCCTGATGGTTCCTCCATACATTCACGCACATATACAAGTAGAGACCACCTCCATCCTGGACTTTGGATCAGAAAGATCCCTATGTTCCAGAAGATCGGGGGTCAAAGATCAGCTTCAATTTTCCCCCTGTATATTTGTTTCCAACTTCAAAAGGTTATGACCATGTTGTTGTTGTTGTTAGTTGTGAAGTCGTGTCTGAACCATCACGTCCCCATGGACAATGTTCCTCCAGTCTTTCCTGTCCTCTACCATCCCCCAGAGTCCATTTAACCTCAACTGCTTCGGTGACTCCATCCAGCCACTTCGTTCTCTGCCATCCCCTTCTTCTTTTGCCCTCCATTGTTCACAGCATTAGGCTCTTCTCCAGTGAGTCCTTCCTTCTCGTTAGGTGGCCAAAGTATTGAGTTTCATCTGGACTTCTAAAGAGCAGTCAGGGTTGATCTCCTCTAGGATGGAGTTATTTGATCACCTTGCAGTCCAAGGGACTCACAGGAGTCTTCTCCAGCACCATAGTTCAAAGGCCTCAATTCTTTGGCGCTCAGTCTTCCTTATGGTCCAACTTTCACAGCCATCCATTGCAACTGGGAAAATCAGAGCCTTGACTCTATGCACTTTTGTTGGCAGGGCGATGTCTCTGCTTTTTAGTGTGCTGTCTAGATTTGCCATAGCTTTCCTCCCCAGGAGCCAGCGTCTTTTGATTTCATGACCATGTACACTGGATTAAGTGTCCATGTTTTGCCTTTTATAACATATTTATTTATTTTATTTATTTATTTATTTATAAAATAAATAAATAAATAACATATAAATAATAATGATTAAGGGTGGGCAGTCCAGCCTTGAACCTCACTGGGTTCGCCCCCAAAGTATAGAAAAAACTGTAGGTAGCAGAGTCTTTCTTCTAGTTGCAATTTTACATAGGGATAAAATGAAAAAGGTCAATTCAGGTAACATCTGAGGTTGTCATGGCTGGGAATTGAACTAGCTCTAACAGGAGGCAAATGTGAAGCAACTTGCCTCGGGCAGCAGATCCTGGGTGGCACGGCTGAGGCAGGAAATTGTTATTTACTTTGTTTGATTGCAATTTTATTGCCTTGTTACCATTCTTTGAATTTTATTGGCCCATTCTGTTTCCCCAAGAAGGGGCTTATGGAATTTTTTTTTTCCTTCTGCCTTGCAGGTCAAAGGTAAACTAAAAATGGAATTACCAAGAATGTTCTTTGAGTTATATACAAGAGACAGGATGTTAAGAAGCAAACTGCCTTGAGCCCTGGCGACAAGCCTCATCCAGTCTCAGTCACTCCTCTGACATACATACCTTCCAAGCAAGTTGTGGAATAGAAACCAATGTTCTTAGTTTCCAGAGGATTATCATGAGTGAATTCACATGAACGAGATTGAGGTTCTGATTCCCCAGTTAGAGAAGAATTGTCCACCTGTGAAACAAAGATCAACATGAGATTGTGGGTTAGGGTTAGGGAGGAACATGGGAGATTTGTCAAAAAGTCAATAGGAGTTGAAATTGCAAGAGATAGATAGAGAATACTTCTTAATATGGGATTTGCTTTATTAAGGATTAGAAAATAGAGGTAGAAATTAGAAATTGGGAAAATATTATTAAGTATACTGCTACATAGTTGGACCATAAGAATGTCTGAGTGCCAAAGAATGGAGGCCTTTGAACTCTGGTGCTGGAGAAGACTCCTGCGAGTCCCTTGGACTGCAAGGCCATCCAACCGGTCAGTCCTAGAGGAGATCAACCCTGACTGCTCTTTAGAAGGCCAGATCCTGAAGAGGAAACTCAAATACTTTGGCCACCTAATGAGAAGGAAGGACTCCCTGGAGAAGAGCCTAATGCTGGGAACGATGGAGGGCAAAAGAAGAAGGGGACAGCAGAGAACGAAGTGGCTGAATGGAGTCACTGAAGCAGTTGGCATGAGCTTCAATGGACTCCAGAGGATGGTAGAGGACAGGAAGGCCTGGAGGAACATTGTCCATGGGGTCACCTTGGGTCAGACACAACTTTGCAACTAACAACAAAAATACTTCTACATAATATAATATATTATAATTACTATGTATACAGAAGTTTTAGAAGTTGAAAGATTATTGCCATGTATACTTAAATAGTATTAATATTATTGTAGTTATTAATATTGTATATAAAGTAAATTGACCCAGACAATACACTATTCACTAAGCACTTATATATGTCAAAGAAAAAAAAACTATGAATAAAATTAAAACAACAACAACAACATGAGATTATGGGAGCTGTCCAGATGTTCAAGTATCATGTTACACAAAAAATTTCTTAATTGTCCTCCTTATGGTAGAGCTTGGCTTAAAAAAAAGAGCAAGACGATGACAAGGATGATTGAACTACAACGTTTAGGATTCCATAAATGATAGTCCAAGAAGTTGGATCAGTGATTAAACAACATCATTTTTAGTTGGAGGCAAGTGAGAAGTTTTTCAGTAAAGAACAGGAGTGAAGTGTGTTAAAAGAGAATTCCTTTCATGTTTTTTTCCCCTCTTATTCCTATTTCCTTTCTACCTTCATCTCTATTACAGATAAATGCTGGATTATTCTTCATTATAACCTAATGATTCATATTTTCACTCAACCTATATTTTCCTTATATTTTCACTCAGTTATTAAGCTGGTTATTAAGACCAGCTGCCTGCAATTACTGCAGGGTTCGAATCTCACCAAGGCTCAAGGTTGACTCAGCCTTCCATCCTTTCTAAGGTAGGTAAATTGAGGACCCAGTTGTGGGGGCAATAAGCTGACTTTGTATAAATATACAAAAGTATGAAGGCTATTGCTGAGCACATTGTAAGCCGCCCTGAGTCTTCGGAGAAGGGCGGCATATAAATCAAATTAAAAAAAAAAAAACCTAACAGCTTAACGACCTGGTTTTTTTAAAAAAAAAATACATATGTGCCTTTCTCAAACTTTTTGGCATTTCCTGCAAAATAGGACAGCAATTAAGAAATACCTCTGCTTCCTGGTCCATCATCTTTAACTGACTTCATCTAAAATATTTTGATCAGGTAAACAAATCCAAAGTTGAAGTAGAGTTTATACTGTTGTTGTTTCAGTCTTAAGCAACTACACAAACACTTCAGAGAGGGAACAACTTTCTAAATTACGGCCATAACATGATAATTCCTGTGGGAAGACTTTTCTTGTAAAAGGATACAAGAATGCTACTTGTAAAAAGTTTGAAAGAGTCTCTACAGTTTTATTTTCTTTGCTATTGAATAAACTTGTTCTTCAGATAGCGCTTAGACTTATATATTGCTTCACAGTGTTTTTACAGCCTTCTCTAAGCGGTCTACAGAGTCAGCCTCTTGCCCCCAACAATTTGGGTCCTCATTTTACCGACCTCAGAAGGATGGAAGGCCAAGTCAACCTTGAGCCTGGTGAGATTCAATCTGCAAAACTGCTGGCAGCCGTCAGGCATCAAAAGTAGCCTGCAGTACTGCACTCTAACCACTGCACCACCAAAGTTCAGATGTTTTAAATCCCATCACTTCTTGTTCCCAATTAACAGAAAGATGCTACCAACAGAAGAGATTATTGATACCTCGGGGTTGAACTATGAGGTCCTTGGTGCTCTCTGAGTTTGGCTGTTTTCTTGCAGACGTCTCATGACTCAACTAAGGAACATTATCAGGGCTAGAAGGGAGTGGGGTTTGTGGAGAGGAGGAGGAGGAGGAGGAGGAGGAGGAGGAGGAGGAGGAGGAGGAGAAGAAGAAAAGAAGAAGAGGAGAAGGACAAGGACAAGGAGAAGGACAAGGACAAGGAGAAGGACAAGGACAAGGACAAGGACAAGGAGAAGCAGGGTTCTTGGTGCTCTCTGAATCTGGTCATTTCCTCGCAGACATTTCATTACCCAATTAGGGAACTTCATCAGTGCTAGGATGATGATGTTACCTAATTGGGTAATGTAACATCGGCAACAAAACAACAACAAGCTCAGAGAACATCAAGGATCCCATAAAAAGATTCGAAATTCTGAGAGATTGTCTCTTCCTTTCCCACTCTGCTTGTAAACTTACCTTACAACCCTGAGACTGGATTAGTCGGATGTCGGCTGGTATTCGGTCTCCACCTTTGATCTCAACGATGTCACCCACCACTAGTTGGTCAGCTGGAATTTCTCTTTTTTCCGCATCTCTGAAGACAAGGGCTTGCTAGTATGAAAAATATAGAGATGCTTTAGATGGATAATTGACCTAACAATTATAGTATATTTGGAGCAATTCATAGAAGACAGATCTGCCTAGGGCTAAGAGTCCTGATATCTCACATTTACTTCTAGGTCTGGGGTAGCCTGCCTCCAAATATCTTGCAGGCCATAACCGTGGGAAATAAATACAGTATGTCTCCATCTCTTGCTTGGCCTCTGTGAGAAACAGAGTGCTGGACCAGATAGGCTTTGTTGGGACCCAGCAGGATTATTCTCATATGTTTATGTAACTGGGAACAATTGTGTTTATATTTGTGTTTACAATACTCTATGTTGCCCCAAAGATGCTTTTTCCAAAGGCAGATGGACTTTCTTGGGTTTTTTCATTGAAAATGTTTCACCTGTCATAGAAGAAGAAAAGAAGAAAAGAAGAAAAGAGGAGGAGGAGGAGGAGGAGGAGGAGGAGGAGGAGGAGGAGGAGGAGAAGGAGAAGGAGAAGGAGAAGGAGAAGGAGAAGAAGAAGAAGAAGAAGAAGAAGAAGAAGAAGAAGAAGAAGAAGGAAAGAAGAGAAGAGGAGGAGGAGGAGGAGGAGGAGAAGGAGAAGGAGAAGGAGAAGGGAGAAGGAGAAGGAGAAGGAGAAGGAGAAGGAGAAGGAGAAGGAGAGTCTTGGATGAGAAGCCAAAAGTCTTCAAGGAAAAAACGAAGAAAGTCCAGTTGCCTTTTGGAGAAAGCATCTTTGGGACAACCATGACCTGGATGATTGAGAATCTCCATAGCCAATACTGTACGTTGCTCTCCAAATGTTATGGGTAAGCTCTATTTTTGAACTCCATATATAATGGGAACAGAGAGCTAACTCCTCTTTTAATTGTATTGACTTCTAGACCAATCTCGTTTCTTCTACCCACTCTAGGAAAAATAATAATAATAAAATGTCTAAGTACCTCTTCTTAGATGCATTAGTACACTAATCATTATAGGAAATTCACCTGTGGGATCATTTTGCCGAAGCTGGCCATTATGTTCGTGCTCTTAGCTTCTTGATAATAAGCGAACATCCCGGTCAAAATGACAACCAATGCAAGGACCACACCCAGGTAGAGCTGGAAAGGAAGATCATCCAGGTTAGACAGAAACAAAAGCAATTTTTTTTTACAGAAATCTTCGAAAGCCACGAGAATAAATCAGTCAGAATAAAATGGCGATGTGGTATCTTCTAATCTGCATGCAGAGGAAATGTCCATCACTGGAGGTCTTCAAGAAAAGATCAGATAACCATTTGTCTGGGATGGAATAAAAGATCTTCTGTGCAGGAAGTTAGACTAAAAGACCTCCAAGCAGAGGTGGGATTCAGCCAGTTCTGACCGGTTCTGGAGAACCGGTAGCGGAAATTTTGAGTAGTTCGGCGAACCGGCATATACCACCTCTGACTGGCCCTGCCCTCAATCTATTCGCTGCCTCCCGAGTCCCAGCTGATCAAGTCTCAGCTGATTGGCTGGGTCTTCTTTTGTTGCCCTGCACAGGAGAATGGAGCTGGAAAGCAGGTTAGTGGGGTGGGGAGGGAATGGAGATTTTATAATATCCTTCCCCCCAGGAGTGGGGTGAGAATGGAGATTTTGCAGTATCCTTCCCCTGGAGTGGGGTGGGAATGGAGATTTTGCAATATCCTTCCCCTGGTGTGAGATGGGAATGGGGATTTTGCAGTATCCTTCCCCTGGAGTGGGATGGGAATGGGGATTTTGCAGTATCCTTCCCCCAGGAGTGGGGTGGGAATGGAGATTTTGCAATATCTTTCCCCTGGAGTGGGGTGGGAATGGGGATTTTACAGTATCCTTCCCCCAGGAGTGGGGTGGGAATGGAGATTTTGCAGTATACTTTCCCTGCCATGCCCACCAAGCCACACCCACAGAACCGGTAGTAAAAGAAAATTGAATCCCACCACTGCCTCCAAGCTCCCTTCGAGGCCTATGATTGTGTTGTTTAGCTACAAGGGAATCAGGACTCGTGGTCATTGAAATGAATAAGAAAACAAAATCGCAAAGCAGCGTAATGGAAACACACAACTCCGCTGACGATCTTCAGCCGAGTATTACAACTTCCATCTGCTTGAAAGTCACACCAGACCTTGTGATGTTGTTCTCCAGGAGGGGTGGTTGAACCAGGAAGTCAAAGATTAAGAGTAGTCAGGTTTGCTAAGGGGTGAACGGGGTCTTAAAATTCAGCAGCGCTGAAAATCCACCCCGCCCTCCGTAATATATGCCACCTTTACCCTGATTACCTGAGAATTCTCCGTAATGAACTCACTGGTCCTTATTTTTATCTACGTTTTGCTTTAGCTGATTCATAGCCAAGAAGGACCAAGCTAAGTGGCTGCATTGAGGAGATCTTGCCCGATTTTGAAAAGATAAGCTGGTTGAAACCGGCTGATCGTTGGACAGGATACCAAGTTGTAGGCTAGACCGAGAAGGTGATAAAACACCACAGGGCAAAACCATAACAAACACCTCATCTGCTGCTGCCAAAAATAATAATGATCATATCTGGACGTGCCCATGAAATTACCGGGAACCAAGCTAGACTAAAGACAGCCTTATCCGCTTTATGTTGAAAGAACAATAGTAAAGATTTCCATAAAAAAACTTCCACTATTGGCCATCTTACCATCAAGTTCACTCGTTCTTGTTTTATTTTAGACACAATGTTTGCTCCTGCATTCAATAAAGATTACGACTTTATCGTGCCAGCTTTCTCTATTGCAGGAAGAAACGTTTTATTCAGTGGTGGGATTCAGCCGGTTCGCACCACTTCGGGAGAACCGGTTGTTAACTTTCTGAGCAGTTTGGCAAACTGGGTGTTGGAAGAAATCATTAGGGCAGAGAACCAGTTGTTAAATTCCTTGAATCCCACCACTGGTTTTATTCCCCCGGTGCAACAATCATGAAACATGGAGTCCCCAATAAAAATATTATACAGACAGTCCTTGACAGTCCTTACGACCAGAATTTCTGTTGCCAAGCACTTAGCAATAGCACTTAGACTTATATCCCACTTTACAGTGCTTTGCAGCCTTTTCTAAGTGGTCAGCATATTTGCCCCCAACAATCTGGGTCCTCATTTTACCCACTTCAGAAGGATGGAAGGCTGAGTCAACCTTGAGCCTGGTGAGATTCGAACTGCCAAATTGCAGGCAGCCGGCAGTCAGCAGAAATAGCCTGCAGTACTGCACTCTCACCACTGCGCAACCATGGCTTGCACCTGATTTCAAGTGGCTCACACCTGATTTTATTACCTTTTCTTCCACGGGTAAGCAAATCATTGCAGTCGTTAAGTGAATCGTTGGTTGTTAAGTGAATTCAGTTCCCCTACTGACTTTGTTTGTCGGAAAATGGCTGGGAAGGTGGCAAATAGCGATCACATGACCTCGGGATGGTTGAACTCTTAAATTGTAAATACATCCCGGTTGCCAAGGGGCTGAATTTTGATCATGAGGATGATGCGGCAGTCGTAAGCATGAGGAACGATCATAAGTCCCTTTTTTTTCAAAGTCCTTGCAACTTTGAACATCACTAAATAAAAGTCAAGTCATTGATACAAGTGGTGGCGCAGTGGTCAGAGTGCAGTACTGCAGGCTACTTCTGCTGACTGCCAGCTGACTGCAATTTGGCAGTTTGAATCTCACCAGGCTCAAGGTTGACTCAGCCTCCCATCCTTCCGAGGTGGGTAAAATGAGGACAAAGTTTGTTGGGGGAAAGATGCAGACTCTGTAAACCGCTTAGAGAGGGCAGTAAAGCACTATAAAGCATTATATAAGTCTGTTATTGCTAAGTGCGGGAGGGAGGGAGGGAGGAAGAAGGGAAGGAAGGAAGGACAGAAGGAAGGAAGGAAGGAAGGAAGGAAGGAAGGAAGGAAGGAAGGAAGAAGGGAAGGAAGAGAGGAAGGAATGAAGGAGGGAGGGACAGAGGGAGGGAGGGAGGAAGGAAGGAAGGAAGAAGGGAAGAAAGGAAGGAAGGAGGGAGGGAGGGAGGAAGGAGGGAGGGAGGGAGGGAGGGAAGGAAGGAAGGAAGGAAGGAAGGAAGGAAGGAAGGAAGGAAGGAAGAAGGGAAGGAAGGAAGGAAGGAAGGAAGGAAGGAAGGAAGGGCGAGCCATGGTGGTGCAGTAGTTAGAATGCAGTACTGCAGGGCTAACTCACTGCTCACTGCCAGCAGTTCGAATCTCACCAGGTTCAAGGTTGACTCAGCCTTCCCTCCTTCCGAGGTCGGTAAAAATGAGGAGACCCAGATTGTTGGGGGGGGGGGGCAAGAGGCTGACTTTGTAAACCACTTAGAGAGGGCTGTAAAGCACTATAAAGCGGTATATAAGTCTAAGTGCTATTGCGGAAAAAAAAAGAGAAAAGAAAGCAGCATAAAACTCACGTTGTCCTTCGCCGAAGCAACTTTTTGAGAATATTGAATGCCGAAAGCGATCCAGCAGAGGATGGCTCCGACCCACAAGAGAAGGGAGAAGCCTCCTATCATTTGCTTGAGGAACTTGATGATTTCCGGGGTCGATTTGGGGGGCGTGAGAGCGTTGGGGCCATCGCGGGCCAGGATCTCCGCTGCTCTTGCACTCGTGAGACCCTTTAAGCAGACAAGGGAGAGAGTTAAAATCAACAGCTCAGCACTCCTGCAACTTCAAAAGCCAATCTGAAATTGATGAGCCGGGGGGGGGACGACATTGACCAAACTGGGCGAAGGAAATGTTTGTTTGTTTTTACAAAGTTTATTTCCATTTTTAAAAACAATGCTTTACATATATACCTACAAAATTATTGCAACTAAGGTATAAAAATATGCGCCCATACCACTAATGAAATCCGTTTCATTTCCCTCCCTTTCCTTTCACCCAAATATACCATAAATTCCAACATTCGTAATAATCATAATCATTTTGGTTCCTAAGTAATTTCGTTAACCGATCTGCCTCTGCGCAGTCTGTAATTTTCCAGATCAATTTATTCTCTGTGGGTATTAATTCGTTTTTTCCATTCATGTGCGTATAATATCCTAGCTGCGATAATAATGTGGAGGATCAAGTACCATTTTTCCTTAGATATTTTATCTGGTTTCATTCCCAATAAAAAAGTCTCTGGTTTCAGCTCTATATTATATCCTGTAATTTCCACTATCCAATTCTGAATCTTCGACCAATATTTGCCTGCTTTGGGACACATCCACCATTGGTGATAGTATGTCCCGCTACCATTCCCGCACTTCCAACATGCCGGGGAGGCTCCCGGAAACTTTCTTGTCGGGGGGATATGCCAACGATAGACCATTTTATAAATGTTTTCCTTGTAGGGGGTTGACAAAGTAAGTTTCATATTTTTATTCCATATCGCATCCCATTTATCCAGAAGGAATAAAGGGGGAAGGAAATGTTAATGCAATTTAACATTGAGCTGATGTTGGTCTATCTCTCTGTGCTTGTCTGTACAGATTAGATTCATTTACACAAACACACACAAACACACATGCATGCCCAGCACACTCACAATTGGCCTGAAACCTAAGAACAGGCAATTATGGATTACAATTGCAACAAACATTTCAAGAACGTTATTTTAAGGACGAGAGCACAAATGCTATTTTTAGCGACACACTGAACTAAATAGATTTTAATAGCATTGTGCTGCTCAACCGTAACATTTATGAATGTTCTCTGGCCAACATTTACTTACTTTAATGATGCTGGTGCCATATTTTTCTTCTAGTTCTTGAATGCTGAGTTTATGATCATCCTGAAAGAGTAAGAAAAAAAGGCAGACGATTAAGGCTTTTTATTTATTGTTTTTATTAGGATAATGTGCTTCTCCAAGCACAACTGACTCGGCATTTGTCACAAATACAAAATATGTATCCATATAATAGTTGATGAGTTTCCTTTGTCACATCTTGTTATAGTGCACCTGCTTATTATAGTTCCCCCAAAATATATTAGCTGTACCAGTGGTAGGTTTCAATTTTTTTTACTACCGGTTCTGTGGGTATAGCATTGCTTGTGGGTGTGGCTTGGTGGGCATGGCATGGGAAGGATACTGTAAAATCTCCATTCCCACCCCACTCCCGGGGAATAATACTGTAAAATCTCCATTCCCTCCACGATCCAGGGGAAGGATACTGTGAAATTCCCATTTCCTTCCAATCAGCTGGGACTTGGGAGGCAGAGAATAGATGGGGGTGGGGCCAGTCAGAATTTTTATTATTAATTCTCCAAACTACTCAAAATTTCCACTACCGGTTCTCCAGAACTGGTCAGAACCTGCTGAAACCCACCTCTGAGCTGTACTCTATCTTATTAAAATTCTTTTAACCTACTGAAAAATCCTTCTAGGGTTATTCACAAATGTTAATGTCTCCTTTATCCAGAATTGTGCCCTGGCAAAATTTTGCAATGATGTCTTGCTTAAAACGGAAGATGTACTGCAATTCCTCCTGTTCTTATCGAGAGATAAGATAAATATAAAGCAGCATCTGAAAGCACAACCATATATAAGGATCAAGCAATCTAAGTTATTAAGTTTTGGTGGAGTTTTTTCTGAAGACTTGGCTGAAATGGTAACTCGGGAATCCTAAATAGTTGCTTGTGACAAACTTATCTTGGAAATTATCCGGCGAGAGCCAAATTTCCTCAGAGAACCAACTAAATTGTCTGACTTGCTTTACACGCTATTGCCTCGCACCAGATTAAGAGATTTTTTAAATGATTCATTTTGTGACTTTTATGTGGGAATGAATTATGACTCAATACCAAAGTAAACATAAATCAGAAATCTCACCTAGCAATACTAAAATAAAGGGTAAAGGTAAAGGTTCCCCTCGTACATATGTGCTAGTTGTTCCTGACTCTAGGGGGCGGTGCTCATCTCCGTTTCAAAGCCGAAGAGCCAGCGCTGTCCGAAGACGTCTCCGTGGTCATGTGGCCGGCATGACTCAACGCCAAAGGCGCACGGAACGCTGTTCCCTTCCCACCAAAGGTGGTCCCTATTTTTCTACTTGCATTTTTTATTTGCTTTCGAACTGCTGGGTTGGCGGAAGCTGGGACAAGTAACGGGAGCTCACTCTGTTACGTGGCACTCGGGATTCGAACCGCTGAACTGCTGACCTTTCGATCAACAAGCTCAGCATCTTAGTCACTGAGCCACCGTGTCCCTATAATACTAAAATAGACTTTATCTTAAGGTCCACTGGAGAACATAAACCTTCTAAATACATTCACTCTCTAGTCAAGTTTGACTTCTGAAGGCTTCATGGAGACATCCCTGCAGTTTTCTTGACAATCTCAAAGGGAGTTTGCCCTTGTTTTCTCCCAAAAGGTATTTTTTTCTCCATTTTCCAACTTATCCTTCGCTTCTCTGATTTTCCAATAGTCCTTCACCCAAGAACTAAGTAGGTGCAATCCAGGTTTAGCTTTTTTTACATCAACCAAGGTCGGCTAAGTGCTGCCATCTAGCTGAATATTGAAATGATGTTGTCAGTATTAATTTGGGTATTTTCAAATCAGACCTGATCTGGGTGACTTGAGAGACAAGTCCATGCAGTTCTTGGCAGCATTTTCAGAAGTGTTTTGTCCTTGCCTTCTTCTTCCTGGTCTAAGAGAAAGTGACTGGCCCAAAGTCACCCAACAGGCTTTGTGCCTAAGGCAGGATTAGAACTCATAGTTTCCTCCCTCCCAATCCAACCACTAGACCGAACTTGAAGAAAATGTCCCTCTGCGTTGTTTTGTTTTCTCTTGGAGGGGAGCAAGTTGCATCTGGTGAGGGCCAATTTTCATCAAGGTTAATGCCTATATGGGAATTGCAAATTAGCAAAAAACAAAAAAACAAAAAAAAAAACCACCCTAATCTTGGTTAAATTAAAAGAATGCTTTTTAGAGATTGAGATAGATAGATGATAGATGATGATGATGAGAGAGAGAGAGAGAGATGGTAGATAGACAGATGAAAGATAGATAGATAGATAGATAGATAGAGAGAGAGAGAGAGAGAGAGAGAGACAGAGAGAGAGAGAGATAGACAGATGATAAATAGACAGTAGATGATAGATAGATAGATAGATAGATAGATAGATAGATAGATAGATAGATAGATCAGATGATAAATAGACAGTAGATAGATAGATAGATAGATAGATAGATAGATAGATAGATAGATAGATAGATAGAGATAGACAGATGATAAATAGACAGATGATAGATAGACAACAGACAGACAGATAGATGAATAGATAGATAGATAGATAGATAGATAGATAGATAGATAGATAGATACAGAGAGACAGACAGACAGAAAGACAAATAGATAGATACAGATAGATGATAGACAGATGATAGAAGATAGATAGATAGGTAGATAATAGATAGATTCCTGCTGTTTAATGCTTGTTGAAGTAAAAGAGGGACTAAGAATAAATGTTGACTGGGAACCAGTTTGGAGGAAAAGCTTCCATTTTTCAAAGAATGAAGAGGAACAAAGAGATAATAAGGTTGCCCCATGGATTTAACTATGATCCTTCAAACTGGGTAAAGCTTAATCACAAATGCAGAGTCAAAGAAGGGATTTGGGAGATATTGCAACATTTAAGATATCTTCTTATTCCCAAATTCATTTATCCCCTCCCCCATCCCCTTTGAAACTCCAAGGTCTCTTTTAGTCCAAATCTAAAACTTTTCCCCATTAGACGTCTTCAAGATGTGTTATCTTTTCCTTCCCATCGTTCTAGACAATCCCATCCTCTCAGGAACGTGGGGTAGGAGAGGGGTCTCCAAATTTGGCCACTTGAAGACTCTGGGAATTCTGGGAATTGAAGTCTACAATTCCCCAGCTGGAGAATTCTGGGAATTTAAATCTACAAGTCTTCAGGTGGCCAGGTCTGGAAACCCCTGAGATAAGACACACACATATGTGGAGAGCTTTTCATTGAAGGAGGGTGATTTAAGGAATTATTATGGGTGGCATGAATCTGGGGATATGGATAGCTTTTACCGACCGCCAAATACCCAGCAGCATCTCCAAAATAACAATCTGCTGAAAGCAACACCATGTCAGCTGCTGGACAGATGTGTATCTAATTGAGATGGTTGCAGAGCCTGTGATAATGTTATTGGAGCAGCATTTGCTTTGCTTTAGCTGAACGTGGCTATTGCAAGATGATTTACACACATTTGAAACCACCCGATATAGCCAGATCCCTGAGCCAAGACGCCGGAGCCTTTCCAAGGAGTAATACATTGAAGAGTTGGAATTTCTCTCTCTCCTTTTTTTCCCCCCCTGTTTCTCTCCAAATGGATATTAATCTTCCTGATGAAATCTTGGGTGGAGCCTGACAAAACAAGACTTGGCATGAAGGAAGGAGAAAATTCAAGATTGCAACTGATTGGTATCTCCGTTGTAACAAGGGTTGCAAATTGTTTGCAGAGGCATCTCAAAGTGTTTTTCTGCCTATCTCGACGATTAAGGTTCACGGCACTGCGGAAATGTTGTGGCCAGAGAAGGCATCGATTTTCCTAATTTAATTGAATGGGCCAGAAGTGGATTACGTCTCTCTTCCCTTTGCGCGATCTTGTTGCCTTCATTCATAGATCTGGGACCAATTTGTCAAGGGCGAAGGCAGCTTTGTTAAGCAGATCTGCTTTGGAACTGAAGTCTGAGGATTTGTGGATGGAGGCATCGGCTTAACAAAATTAGGGTAATGACAGTATTTGCCTACCTAATTGAAATGCAATTAACTTGCATATGGAACACTATTTGCGTTCAGAGAGTAAGGGCACAAAACTATTTGTTGTCCCAAAGATGAGTCATTTGAGAAGCAAATTACTTCCTGTTCCAAGACTGAAACTTTTGTATTAATAATCGTCTTCCTTAAAAAAAAAAATATTCAGGAAAACAAGAGATCTTATATTCGATCTACCAATTTAACCCTGTGCAACCGTGAATTAACAAGAATCTATGCTGGTATCTGTGAGTCACTTACCAAATCCAGCTCTTTCTTAAGCTCTTCGGTCTTGTCTTTCTTCTTATTGCCTTTCAAATCTTTTTCCTTTTCGTCTTCCGTGTATCCATCATCCACATCCTTGGTCCCACTTATCTCTATTGAATAGATATCCGATTTTTTCTAAAAAGAAACATAATTCAGCAGGAAAGTTAGTTGGACTTATTTTAAGTTAAGTCACCGGTTTATTTTCACGGGGCCCATTAAAAGGACTCCGTCTTGCAAGCCAAGCCCACCCACTCACCCCCCCAAAAAACTTCCCTTTTGCCTTTACTACCTCATGTTCTCCTTGCAATTTGGAGAACGGTGTGAAATTCTAGAACCCCTTTTTGTAACAATCCTGCAAAACTTTCATCTGGAAATGTGCTCTGAGTTAGCTGTTATTAGAATGAAGATCGTGCGTTCCTTTGACCTTCGGGTTATAACAATTGCGTCAGTGTGGCCACCACAAGCCAAAAACAATACAACGATTGGATTGCTGAGATATCTGTTTAAACATTTCTTTGCAAACCAAACCAGATCAACTAAAAATCCGGACAGGGAAGCGAATGGATGAAAGAAATAAACCTCTACGAACCCAATGAATGGTTTATGTTTTACGGGTAGACAGACTGTGTGGGATGGAGTTCACCATTTTTATATACATAACTTCCCAGATCGTAATTGATCTATAAAATTGCAATCCACTCTGTTAAACAACCAGTCAGTGGCCGACTCCATTCCTTTCCAGATTCTTTGAGACTTAGATTATTGCACTGCTTAGGCATGATCATATTTGGTAGTAAAGGATCAGTTCACCAGCTGCATTTCTGGTTGCCATAGCAATATGGGATGCAGTTGAAAATCCTTTAAAAAACCCTTTTGTTTTCATTTTGCAAACAGTCATTCATATCATTTGTTTTTATTTTGTCTAGTACCGTTGATAGGTCTTTTAATTATTTTTCTCTCTGTGGTTGTTTTTTTTTTTTTAAATAAACCTTTGTATACCATTTTTCTTCTAATTGGTATTACCAAGAGTCCCATAATTTAGCTTAAATATTCCTAAATTTAATTACTGCTTGAGGATTTTACAGAAAGGAAAAATATTTTCAACGACGAGCATTCGTTTCTCCACTGTATCGTCTCAAATCCCATCTTCTCCTATTTGGGAGATTTCCAAATATTGCACTGCTTCACACTATTGGACTCAGTTCATCCTTTTCTCCAAACTTAGCAAAAAAAAAAAAAGAGCAACAAAGATGACAGAGGGACTATAGCACGGGTATCAAACTTGTGGCGTCACGCTAGCATCATGTGACGTATCGTGATGTTTTTCCCCTTCGCGGAGCTGGGGTAGGCGTGGCCAGCGCGCGACGCATCCAGCCTGTAGGACGCCAGTTTGACACTTCTGGTCTAGAAGATAAACTGTATGATGAACAATTAAGGGACCTAATTGTGTCTAGGGCAGTGATGACTAACCTTTTTGCCATCACGTGCCAAAAGCGGAGGAAGTGCGTGAAGGGGTTGCACACACGCGTGCCCACACTCATAATTCAATGCTCCCCCGTGCATGTGCGTGCGACCCCCCCTCCCACTGTTTTTGATATGCAACAGCAAAAAGGTTACCGGTGGGCCCGGTAGGCCTGTTTTTCGCCCTCCCCAGGCGCCAGAGTCTTTCTTGGAGTCTGGGGAGGACTCAAACAGCCTCCCCACCCTCCCGGAGGCCAGAAATGGCCATTTCCCAACTTTCGGTGGGCCCGGAAGGCCTGAAAATCAGCTGGCCAGCGCACACATATGTGCTGGAGCTGAGCTAGGGCAACGCTCGCGTGCCCACAGATATGGTTCCGCGTGCCACGTGTGGCACACTGCCATAGGTTTGCCATCACGGGTCTAGACTAATAGAAAAGGACTAGAGTGACACGATAGCTATCTTCCACGACTTGAAAGGTTGCCACAAGAAGACAGGGTCAACCTATTCTCCAAAGCTCCTGAGGGCAAAACAAGAAGCAATGGGTGGAGACTAAACAAGGAAGGAAGCAACCTAGAACTAAGGAGAAATTTCCTGACAGTGGGAACAATTAACCAGTGGAACGACTTGCCTCCAGAAGTTAAGAAGAGATTGGGCGACCATTTGTCTGAAATGGTATAGGGTCTCTCTGCCTGAGCAGAGGGTTGGACTAGAAGACCTCCGAGGTCCCTTCCAACTCTTTTGTCTTGGACAGGACCAGGTTTTTCTTCTGCTGTCTTAGCACTTAAGAGTTACAGTTATAGAAGCCTAGAGGTACAGAGCTGGGAGGGACCACAACGAACATTGAATGCAAATGTCTGCAATTAATTAACCCATCATTACAGATGACTATCCATTCTCTTCCTAAAAACTTCCAGAGATACACAACTATCACCCAAAGATTGCCCCACTTATATGCAGATCTCACCACCAGGAAGCCTAAAAATATCTATTGCCGCAATAGATACAGCGGCCAGCAACTATGAGTTCCTGAGAATCAATGATCTCAGCTCTCTGAACTTCTGAACGTGCCATGGCCTTCATTTGTAGATATTAGGGTGCTTCTTTCCGTTTCGGCAATCTCAAGGGTCGTTCTGGTTAGGCTGGCTGAGTTGGCCAAGTGATTTAAAAAAAAAAAAAACCCTTGAAATAAGACATGGATCAGGATCCTTTTCCCAGCTGAGGCTTTTTAAGATGACTGAATTCAAAGAAAGGACCATCCGTTCAGAAGACGTTTCAGTTTCCCCATCTGATTTCTCCAGCCAAAAGGCTGAGTTGCAGATAGTGAGAAGGATCAATGAGGAAGAGATTGGACAGCCCCTTTGTCTGAAATGATACGTAGAGGTATTATTTCAGTGATACGTCCAACCCCCTGTTTGTGCGGGGGGTTGGACTAGAAGACCTCCAAGGTCCCTTCCAACTTTGTTATTTCTGTTCAGTTATTGTTTACATGAGATCTTGGAGAAATATTGTCATTTAGATAATGACAAGATTATCTAGATGATCTCATCTAGATAATCCTGAGTGATAGATGAGAGAGACCTAATTTCCACCTAATGCTTAGATTTAAAATTCTGCATCAAAATCAGAAGTATTTTATATAGTCTCTCTTTCTCTTTCTCTCTCTGCCCCCTCCCTTCCTCTCCCCCCCTCCTTCCCTCTCTCTCTCTCCCTCCCTCTCTCTCCCTCTCTCCCTCCCTCCCTCCTTCCCTCTCTCTCTCCCTCCCTCTCTCTCTCTCCCTTTCTCCCTCCCTCTCTCTCCCTCTCTCTCCTCCCTCCCTCTCCCTCCCTCCCCCTCTCTCTCCCTCTCTCTCCTCCCTCCCTCCCTCTCTATCCCTCCCTCCCTTTCTCCCTCCCTCTCTCTCTCCATCCCTCCCTCTCTCTCTCCCTCTCTCTCCTCCCTCCCTCCCTCTCCCTCTCTCTCTCCCTCCTTCCCTCTCTCTCTCCCTCCCTCCCTCTCTCTCTCCCTCCCTCCCTCTCTCTCTTCCAAAAGTGTCTTCAGGTTGCCCGAAAACCAAGCTCCTTAATCCAAAAAAACCTCTTGGTAAAATTTTGCTGCACGTTACTTCTCCCCACCTCCCCACCCCCATAAAAAGAAAGCTCCTTCATCTTCAAACCTCAGAGAAGCCAACTGTGGATTCTTCATCGTTCCCAAATTCCCCCATGTACTCACTTTTCCCATTTTGTGGCTTCCTCTTCCTTGGACCAGGGAAGGACAGTGGGAGGACAATGGATTTCTTGGAAGGCAGCTCAACCAGTGGATCCCAAAGACCGGGCTCAAAAGTACCAGAGAAGGTGCTGATCAGCTAGAACCCAGAAGATGGAACGAAAGAGCTCTCAAGACGTTGTCAGCTCCTAGCAGGTGATCCAAGGTGAGCTGGAGCCCTCTTCAAATTTAGGCATCCTTTGGATGAGGCAGGTTCACCTCCCTGTGGGAAGCATCTGTTACCTGTTGGCCTTTTTATGAAGGTAAGCTAAGCCACGCCTCCTTGTCTTCTCCAAGTCATTCCAGGCTGGGCTTTACCCAACAGTAGGTGGAAGCATAACCACAATACTAGGCAATGTCCCAGGTCAAAGCGGCTAATTATACTGTGCAGACTTTGTTCCCTTCGACCGGGTTCCATAAAAAGCATTGAGCCATTCGCTTCCTTCACCTTTTCTCATCCTGACTCTCTGAATTAAATGAATGAAAACGAAACATTTTAGACCTGAGTTTTCTTTTCTGATCAGGAAGAAGAAGAACAAGACAAGGAAAGGAAAGGTTTACCTACAAACGGGTGCCACTTCAGAAAGGGGGTAGCCCTCGACTTACGACAGAGGCTTCCATTGCTAAGCGAGACAATTGTTAAGGGAGCTTTGGCCCCATTTCTTGCCCCCGTTTTTAAGTGAATCGATGCAGTTGTTCAGTTAGTAACCCGGTTGTTAAGTGAACGTTGATTTCCCCCCATTGACTTTGCTCGTCAGAAGGTCGCAAAAGGGAATCGGGACAGGGCAACCATCATAAGTATAAGTAAGTCCTTCACTTATGACCACAATTGAGCCCGACGTTTATGTTGCTAAGCGAAAGATTTCTTCAGTTGAGTTTTGCCCCTATTTGACGACCTCTCTTCTCATTGTGGTTAAGTGAATCACTGCAGTTCTTAAATGAGTAACCCGGTTGTTAAGTGAATCTGCTTTTCCCATCGACTTTGCTCGTCAGAAGGTCGCAAAAGGGGGATCGCATGACCTCGGGACAATGCCACGGTCATAAGTGTAAGTCAGTTACCAAGAGCTTGAATTTTGATCACATAACATGGGGAAGCTGCAAATGTCGTGTGGAAAATGGCTGTAAGCTGCTTTTTTCAGTGCCTCTATAACTCTGAATGGCCTTTAAACTGACTATTGTAAATCAAGGACTGCCTACCTGTAATCTGGTGGAACCTCTCTATATTATTAGGATCTCATTTCATTTGTGATTCCCCAGAATTGCTATTTTTCTTATTTTGTAATCTTTACATCATAACCCACCACGAACACTCTTCAACGGAATGGCTCCCATCAGGTTTGTTGTTAGTTGTGAAGTTGTGTCCAACCCATTGCGACCCCATGGACAACGTTCCTCCAGGCCTTCCTGTCCTCTACCATCCTCTGGAGACCATTTAAGATCACGCCGGCTGCTTCAGTGACTCCATCCAGCCACCTCGTTCTCTGCCGTCCCCTTCTTCTTTTGCCCTCCATCGTTCCCATCATTAGGCTCTTCTCCAATGAGTCCTTCCTTCTCATTAGGTGGCCAAAGGATTTGAGTTCCATCTTCAGGATCTGGCCTTCTAAAGAGCAGTCAGGGTTGATCTCCTCTAGGACTGACCGGTTGGATTGCCTTGCAGTCCAAGGGACTCACAGGAGTCTTCTCCAGCACCAGAGTTCAAAGGCCTCCATTCTTTGGCCTTCTCAGCCTTCCTTATGGTCCAACTTTCACAGCCATCCATTGCAACTGGGAAAACCAGAGCCTTGACTATACGCATCTTTGTTGGCAGGCGATGTCTCTGCTTTTTAGTATGCTGTCTAAATTTGCCATGGCTTTCCTCCCCAGGAGCAAATTTCTTTTAATTTCTTGGCTGCAGTTCCCATCTGCAGTGATCTTGGAGCCCAGGAAAATAAAACCTGTCACCCCCTCCATTTCTTCCCCATCTATTTGCCAGGAGTTGAGATGGCCTGGATGCCATGATCTTAGTTTTCTTAATGTTGAGTTTCAAGCCAACTTTTCCACTCTCCTTCTTCACCCGCATCAAGAGGCTCTTTAGTTCCTCTTCGCTTTCTGCCATTAGAGTGGTATCATCGGCGTATCCGAGGTTGTACACGTAGTCCTTGACTTACAAAAGTTTGCTTAGTGACCATTCAAAGTTACGGCACTGAAAAAAGTGACTGAGGACCCCTTTTCACACTTATGACCATTGCAGCGTGGCCAAGTGATTTACATTCTGACGCTTGACCAACTGACTCACATTTGTAACTGTCGCAGAGTCCCGGGGGGGGGGGGTGTCACGTGATCCCCTCTTGCGACCTCCTGGCGAGCAAAGTCAATGGGGAAACCCAATTCACTTAACAACCATGTTACTAATTTAGGAACTGCAGCGATTCAAATTAACAAATCCGGCAAGGAAAGTTGTAAAAGAGGGCAAAACTCACTTAACCAATTTCTCACTTAGCAACATAAATGTTGGGTTCAGTTGTGGTCATAACTTGAGGACTACCTGTAATTTATTATTCCGGGCCAATCCTGGAGATTCTTATTGGGATTTCAAGAAAGATACTTGTTTAAAACGTCTGAACAGGCCCAGCTGCTTAAGCAAACGAAAGAGAAGTTAGCTAAATTGAGATCAGTGTCTTGTTTGGACAAAAACAATCAGTTTGGGATTTTCTTGTAGTAAAATATGCGGAATGGTTCTTGAAAAGCTTGTGTAGATTTTATCTCTGTATCTGGGATCATATACCTTGCAAGTTTTTGTGTGTGTGTGTGTGTGGTTTTTTTTTTTTTTTAATTTGCATTCTTTTCATTTGTTTCCTCTTTATAGTTTTGTATGTTATTTTTCTGTTTTGTTTCTTTTCTTTTCGTTATACTCTGTTAAGAAAAACAAAGTGTAACTTTAAAAAAAAAAAGAGGTGTAAATTTTGATATTGGAATAGGGGGTGCCATAAGGAAATAGGATTCCCAGTCATTTTTTTTCCCCTCTCTTTCTCTCTCTCTCTCTAACACAGGAGATTGTTTTAAGAATCGCATTTGTTTAATTAGTAGTTTTGCTCGTTTGCATTGTGTAAAACTTCTGATTATATCTACATACAGCCACACTTCCTGGAACAGACTTTGGATTAGAAGAAAGCCAAAGATTTCTATAAGAAGGTATTGTCTCAAGAGGAAATGTACATTTTAAAAGTTGCTATCCTTTGACCATTCTTTAAAGTCTCAATGGCTGTTTTTGTGGTATTATTTTTGAAAGTGGTTTTAGCATTGTCTTTTTTTACTCATCTTTTCTTTCCTTCCTTCCTTTTTTCCTTCCTTTCCTCCCTTCCTTTTTTTCCTTCCTCCCTTCCTTCTTTTCCTTCCTTCCTTCTCTCCTTCCTTTCCTTTCTTCCCTCTCTCCCTCCCTCCTTTCCTCTCTCCCACCCTCCTTCCCTCCTTCCTTCCTTCTTTCCTTCCTTCCCTCCCTCCCTCCCTCCCTCCTTCCTTCCTTTCTTTTCCTTCCTTCCCTCCCTCCCTCTTTCCTTCCTTCCTTCCTTCCTTCCTTCCTTCCATCCTTCCTTCCTTTTCCTTCCTTCCTTCCTTCCTTCCTTCCTTCCTTCCTTCCTTCCTTCCTTCCTTCCTCCCTCCTAGTGGCTGCTTAAACTATGCCCTGCATTTTCTTGGCAAGACTTTTAGAAAAAGTTTTCCATTGCCTCCTTCTTAGGGCTGAGAGAAAGGGACTGGCCCAAGGTCACCCAGCTAGTTTTGTGCCTAAGGCAGGACTAGAACTCATGGTCTCCCAGGTTCTAAACTAATACCTTGACTATTGCAGTACATCAAACTGCCTCTTTTTTGTCTTTAATTGTCATGCTAATATGAAATGATAAAAGATGACGCTATCTAAGAATAGAAAGAGGGAAATGGATTTTAAAAGAACCTTAAGGTATAGAGGTTAACAGGTTAACAGAGTTGGAAGGGACCTTGTAGGTCATCTAGTCCAACCCCCCACCCAAGCAGGAGACCCTACACCATTTCTGACAGATGGCAATCCAGTCTATTCTTGAAAGCCTCCAGTGATGAAGCTCCCACAACTTCCGAAGGCAACTTCTGTTCCATGGGTTGATTGTTCTCACTGTCAGAAAATTCCTCCGCATTTCCAGGTTGAATCTCTCCTTGTTCAGTTTCCATCCATTATTCCTTGTCTGGCCTTCAGGTGCTTTGGAGAATAGCTTGACCCCCTTCCTCCTCTCTGTGGCAGCCCCTCAAATATTGGAAGACTGCTATCCTGTCTTCCCTGGTCCTTCTCTTCACTAGACTAGCTGTGCCCAGTTCCTGCAACCGTTCTTCATATGTTTTAGCCTCCAGTCCCCTCCTCATCCTGGTTGCTCTTCTCTGCACTCTTTCTAGAGTCTCAACATCTTTTTTTATAGTGTGGTGACCAAAACTGGATGCAGGACTCTAGGTGTGGTCTTACTAAGGCTTTATAGAGTGGTATTAGTACCTCCCTTGATTGTATCCCACTGTGAGTGCAATTTAGGATTGTGTTGGCTTTTTTAACCCAAGGCCTTGCGGATTCAAATTTGGAATAAAGGCGAAGGAACTCGATCCTAGATGAAATAAAATCAAACCGCACTCATTCATTCAATTGCGAGAATGAATAATGAGGCTAAAGCTTATCTATTTTAGAACCGTCACCTGAAGATTAAAGTCATTGAAGAAAACTCTGGCAAAAAAAATTTTTAAAGAGAATTTTTTTAAAGAGCCTTGGTAGTATAGTGGTCTAAAGCACCCTGTTATTAAGACCAACTGCCTGCAATTACTGCAGGTTCGAATCTCGCCAAGGCACAAAGTTGACTCAGCCTTCCATCCTTTCTAAGGTAGGTGAAATGAGGACCCAGTTTGTGGGGGCAATAAACTGACTTTGTATAAATATACAAAAAGGATGAAGGCTATTGCTTAGCACATTGTAAGCCGCCCTGAGTCTCCGGAGAAGGGCGGCATATAAATCAAATTTTAAAAAAATAATTTTTTTTAAAAAAAGACGCAGACTGAAGATATGATGGTAAGTGATGACCAATCAGGACTTTAGAAGAACTCAAAGATGTAGTTACAGGCAAACAATCCTTGAGGTGTTGTCCTTTAAGTTAGGAAGTGTTGAAAGCACTTGTATAACCAAATGAACATTCCCATCAATGTATTGCTATTCCAGTAAGAAAGTTTTTAGGAGCAC